CAAACTATATTTCTATGGAGCCCTGCTGGTGACATACCGTATAAATAAAAATAATATGAGGCCACAACTAAGTAAAGCATGGGAACAAGATCCTAATGTGTGGCCACGACTTAGAAAGGCGTGGGAATTAGATAATTAAGCCTGGGCCACGGCTTATTAAGACATGCTCTATTTCAAATGCCTTACTATGGAGCCCTACTGGTGACATCCTATATACACCAATCAGGCATAACATTATGACCTCCTGCTTGTTTCTATGCTCATTGTCCATTTTATCAGCTCCACTTACTATATAGGAGCACCTTGTAGTTCTACAGTTACAGACTGTAGTCCATCTGTTTCTCTGCAGACTTTGTTAGCCCACTTTTACCCTGTTCTTCAGTTGTCAGGACCCCCATGGACCCTCACAGAGCAGGTACTATTTGGGTGGTGGATCATTCTCAGCACTGCAGTAACACTTATGTGGTGGTGGTGTGTTAGTGTGTGTTGTGCTGGTCTGAGTGGATCAGACACAGCAGTGCTGTGTCATAATGTTATGGCTGATCGGTGTAAATAAAAATAATGCATGGCCACGCCAACTAATGCATGGCCACGATAATTAAGCCACGCCAACAATATCCTAATGCATTGGCATGAGATAATTAAGCCTTGACCACAGCTTAATAAGACAAGATCTCCTTCCCATGTCTTACTAAGTTGTGGCCACATGTTAGGATCTTGTTCCCACACGTTAAAACGGCCAGGATTATTTATATTGATACAGGATGTCACCAGCTGGGCTCTGTATACTTCTTATAGGACAGTTGCTGTAAAAATAGGCATAAATTAGTGACCACGCCTTATTAACGCGTGGGAACGAGATCCTAATGCGTGGCCATGACTTAGAAAGACGTGGGAACGAGATCACTGCTTACTAAGTCGTAGCCACGCATTAGGATCTCGTTCCCACACTTTACTAAGTCATGGCCACGACTTAATCATCTCATTCCCAGGCCTTACTAAGTTGTGGCCACGCATTATTTTTATTTATACCGGATGTCACCAGCGGGGATCCGTAAATTCCAACTGACCTTTAACTGAATGAAATAAAACACTGCTTTCACATTTTTTCTCCACTTTCCTGTTAGAATTTCCCCGTCCCACCTTAAATGGTGCAGCCGTTACATGTACTGCACTGTTTAAGGTGGAACTGGAATTCGAACAAGAAGCCTCATCTCACACAGTCCACAATAATGCATGCAAACATCTTACTTTTGACTCTTTACTGTGCAAATATGAGTTCAGAAACACTCCTTCTCCGCCTCCGATGCTAATATGGTTAGCTTAGCAATCTAATTGCTCAAATGAAGCAGTTCATAACCCCAAAAACAGCATTTTACAGATCAACAATTCAGTCTAGCTCACATTCAGGAGTACTTAGTGAGCCTATTATAGTGCATTGTGCCTTTATCTTCACCTGAAGAGTAAAAATTAATAATTTTTAATTTTTTTATCAGCTTCTTCTGTGGAAATACCGGTTCATTAACTCTCCAGATGAAAACAGAGCAGCTCGAGCGCCAGTACATCAGCGTTGGTTCCAGCTGCCCTCTAGAGGCGGCGCTGCAGCAGTGCAGCCTGACAGCAGGGCTGCGTCCAAAACCACACTGCACTACACTGCACTACACATAGTGCACTAATGAACATTCTGTCGCGGACTGACTGTTTCTGGCGAACTATTTAGTATGGAGGTATGCGATTTCGGACGCAACCCAGGACTGACCGAGCACACAGTGAGATTTTATTAAGAAATCTGTACACTTTTAAAACGATCTACAATGCAGCAGAAATTATTACAGGAGTCGTAACAAGATTTTTTTTGTGCATTCAGACAATCACTATAGTTTACTACAGGATACTCCACTACTATCATGTAGTACTAGAGAAATAAATATTATTGGAGACAAAAAATGTATAGAGTATATTATTATTATACAACACTATAGAAATCTGCCAACCTAATAAAGCATGTGTTGTATGACATCTGTTTGCAAACATCCATTTCCATTTTGACTGATTTATTTGTGCTGTTGATGTGTTTTAAAGTGTTTTTAAGGCAAAAAAATACATAAAAGTTTGGATAAAAATGTGGAAAATAAAACAAAAATGTCTGTAGGTTTGTACATATTTGTACAGGAATTACTAACAAAATTGTTTTAATTTTCTGTTAATATTAGCCCATTTTACAGAGCACTGCACTACAGTCTCCAGCACGCACTGCAATGTAAAGTGCACTCTGACTCTCCTACCCCAACAACAGTCTATGGGACAGCACTAACACCACAGTTCTACACCATTCCACGCAACTCCACAACAGTCGTATCACCAAACACACTAACTGCCTTTCAGCTGCAGTTCAGCCAATATAAACACTTAACAGCTCAGCAGCTTAGAAATTGAACCCAAGTATTAATGAATGTGCAGCAAATGAAAGATGCCAGGTGTCTAGTTCAAGCAAATAGGCAGGTTTGAAAGACTGAGCACCTGGGGACACTTACATTCAGAATATTTCAAAAGTATTCATGTAATATTTCAAGGTCTACTACAAGTGCTTATATTATACTGCTGAGGTTTTTGCATATTTTGAATAAACAACGACCAGTCCGGGTTACAGCACATCATTCATTAAAAATGAAATAAAAACATTTTTCTTTGGCCCACAGGTTTAATGAGATTTTTTAATATGGCCCATTAGTGGTTGAGTTTGACACCCCTGTTTAGCCTCCACAAAGAACATTCACACTGTTGTAGCAGCACTGAAAACTGTCCATTTCTAAAAGATTTCTAAAAGCAGCGATCATTCTTCAGTTAGCGATTGCAAAAACAGATACACTACCCTGCTGAAAAAAGACCATTAGAATCATTGGGATTAAAACCTGATGGTTTTGCTTTCTAATAGGAACTGGCCTAATGGTTCCTGTTAGAGACCACTAGTTTCCTGTAGGACACCTTTAGATCCCAACCATCAAATGCATCTGGAATTTGTTCCAAAACACTTGTTAAACCTTTAGAATCCTTTTCTCTGTGATATCAACTCATCAGCAAAACAAAATATCATCAGTGACTATCAGACACCACAGGGAACCAACAGAAACCTTTAATAGTTTTTATTATTTTTACAGCAGGGCACATGGCGAAACTATATGGATCCTCGAACTACATATCCGTATGTACTTGCTGAATATTTAGTTCCAAACCATTGGCAGAGAGTCCCGCCCCCCACACTGCTGCAGGAAAGTTGGAAGAATTCCCAGAATGTATGCTGTAGTGTTAACATTAACCTTTGCTGGAACTACGAGGTCAGGAAAAAGCTGAAAACAGCCCCAGACCATTATCCCACCTCTACCAAACTCTGGTAGTATCACCCTTTCCAACTGCCGAACCCAGATTTGTCCGTCAGGCTGCCAGATGGTGAAGAAAATGTGTTTCTGCTGCTCCAGAATCCACTGGTGCTGTGCTTACACCACTCTATCCAATGCCTGGTATTGCACATAGCGATCTTAGACTTCTATGGGCTAATTGGCCATGAAACCCAATGCGTGAAGCTCTCGGCCAACATTTCTTGAGCTGACGTTGCTTCCAGAGGCAGTTTGGAACTTTGTAGCTCGCCGTATCTGAGGACAGATGATTTTTATATGCTCTGTGATTCCGTTCTGTGAGCTTGTGTGGCCCACAGCTTTACGGCTGAGCCGTTGTTGCTCCTAGACACCATTGTAAGGAATATGTGACTGGTTAAAGCCTTCACAGTTGGTCTCGGTCTATAATTTAGGAACCCTGCTGTGCCCAACTAGTTAAAATGATCATCCCCCATAAAAGCTACTTATTAAGAATCAAAGCCATTGCAACTGTAAAACTGCAAAACACATGGCTTCTTATGAAGTCTGGCCTGGTCTTGATCATTTAATCGCCTTCTACACTGCAAAAAATAGAATCTTGTCAAGTGAAATGATCTTAATTCTAGTTGATCTATCTAATATGTCTTGTTTTGAGATGGTTGCGCAATTTTATAAGATTATCAAGCTCATTTCTAGACAGTTTTGACCTGTTTTATGTAATTTTATCAAAATTCAACCTCACTATCAATCAAAATTATCTCACTATATTGCAGATAATTTTGCTAGTTTCAAGCTCATTTCTTAAAAAGTGAGATAAATTTATTTAATAAAATCACTTTAAACAAGTAAAAATTATTGGAAATAAGTTAAATAATCTTAAAAGAAGCTTACTACAATCTCAGCAGGAGAAATAATATATTTATTGACTAGATTTAAGATCATTTTACTTGACAAGATACCATTTTTGCAGCGTAGATATTTTATTAATCATACTAATAAAAAGGATGAGCTGTTGCAGCTCTCGTCTCACTTTCAAAATAACAGCACTACAGTTGACTGGGGCAGCTCTAGCAGGGTAGAAATTTGTTGAACTGCCTTGTTGGAAACTAAAACCTCACTGAGCACTAAGTAGAAATAGCCAAGAGTCCACATACTTTTGGCAATGTAGTTCAATGGAAGGTTGAAAAAAGGCTCTTTCTGCAGTATCTCTGTGAATGCCTTAAACACTATTATATAACAACTACAAATGCCATACTTGTAGCATTATGTTTGAAAAATGGTCAAATTTAAAAATGATTAGCTTATCAATATGCATTCATGAATTTGACGGCAGTGGCGGAACCGTCATCCGCTACTTAAAGAACCGCAGAAGTATAGTGAAGACAGGAATTAGATAACAAAGAGCACATTGAGGAGCCGGAGGATGACTCACACCTGTCCTTTCTCACTGTGACAGTGTGAATTTTGGGGTCACTTAGGACAAACCGGTCATGTGACCATCACCAAAGCTGCACACACATCACTTCTCTGCCTTTTCCTGATTGGCCCACACTCTCTCCTCTCTTTCACTCCTTTGTTTGGCCCTGGACACACAGCATTTATGGCATACGGTCCTGAAAGATCGTCGCTATGGGGATGCGTTGGCCGGCAGCCGGCCTGATTGATGGTGGAGAGAAAATGGCCATAAAGAGCGTCTGCTGTGGCCAGATTAGGGTTCCACAAACAGGCCTCAAACGTGTCGTCTAGTAGGACAATTTGTTTATCAGGGAACATTCCGTTATTTCACAATTGGAGAATTTGTAGTGCACACTCCCACTGGTGAGCAACTGAGAGCCTGAGTTATTTGCTTTGTTTCATAATTTAGTCAGAATGCATAGAAAGTAATGGATTAGTATCGTGTCAAGGAGGCAATTAGGCAAACAAGACGATCCTAAACGTAGGCCAGCCGTGATAAGCAGCAATCTGTTTTACAGTTTTACAGTTGCTGTGGCTTTCGCTCTTAATGAGTGTCTTTTACGAGGGCTGATGGTTGTAACTGCTTGTGCACAGCGGGGTCCTTAAATTATGGTCCTGGGCCAACTGTGAAGGCTTTAACTAATCATATATTTCTAACAGCGGGGTGGAGGGTGTTTGCAGCTTAACAGTAGGGCGTTCTTAAAAATAGAGGCTCCTATATGGTTCTTGGCTTGGATGTACAGTTTTAGAATTTTTTTTTGTTTTGTTTTACATTAAGTGGAGGTTCTTTAAACTTTGAAAAGGATCTTATTCTAAATGTTTCCCGCATTTTAGGTCCATTTATTATATTTGAGTGGCTTTATGTACCAAAAGTAGTCATGATTAAGCACTCAGAGCCGAAATGCTCCTTATAACTTCAGTGTGAATGAGTGGAGCTAACTGCTGTTGGCTGTATGGGTGGATGTATGTAAATGAGTTCACAAAAACTAAAAAAATCACAAAAACTGTTTTTGCAGGTCAGTTTTTATACATAGATTATGTGGACTGTGGAGCGAATGGTTCAAACTTCTTAAAAAAAGTGAGAGAAGTTCAGTTTTCCATTATATGGGCCCTTTAATGCCCACACATCACAATTATGAATGTGGTTCTTTAACCCTTTAAGGGTCAGGCAAAAATGTGTATTTCTGCCATTTAATCTGCTCTTCTCTGTTAGTAGAGTGATTTCTAAATGCTGTTGTTGCACGGAAATAATATGCAAAGGACACAATCGTACTAAGGTGAAAGATTTTTATTTCATTTGTCTCACAAACAACCTTTCTGAACAAGAAAATGCATGAAAAGCAATATGTCTCACATTAGGCGTGTTTTATTGTTACTCTGATAAAAAAAGTCGAGAATAAGCACTAATTGATCTGTTTGAGCTCATTCGCTTAGAAATCATAATGAATCCAACAACCACAACGAAAACATTGGTGAATGAACTTTAAGTTGACTTGACAAAGCTGTTGCTATGAAATCTCATGCAGTTGCTAAGGTGTTGCCATGTTATGCCAGGTAGTTGCTAAGATGTTGCTAGGCCACTGCCATGGTATTCCAGGTGGTTGCTAAAGTGTTGCTAGATTCTTGCTATGTTATACCAGGTGGTTGCTAAAGTGTTGCTAGATTGTTGCTATCGTATCCAGGTAGTTGCTAAGGTGTTTCTAGGCTGTTGACATGTCATTGCTATGGTATCCCAGTCGCTAAGGTGTTGCTATGCCATTGCTATGGTATCTAGGGGGTTGCTAAGGTGTTGCTGAACCACAGCCATGGTATTCCAGGTGGTTGCTAAGGTGTTGCTAGACTGTTGCTATGTTATCCCAGGTGGTTGCTAAAGTGTTGCTAGGATGTTGCTATGTTATCCCAGGTGGTTGCTAAGATGTTGCTAGGCCTTTGCAATGTTAAGCTAGGTAGTTGCTAAGATGTTGCTAGGCAATTGCTATGATACGCCATGTAGTTGGAGAGATGCTGACAGGTCATTAATATGGTCCCAAATCCCAGGGAGTTGCCTAGGTGTTGATAGGTCATTGCTAGGGCATCCTAATGGCTGAGGTGTTGCTAGGCCACTGCCATGGTATTCCATGTGGTTGCTAAGGTGTTGCTAAACTGTTGCTATGTCATCCCAGGTGGTTGCTAAGGTGTTGCTAGACTCTTGTTATGTCATCAAGGTGGTTGCTAAGGTGTTTTTCTAGGCTGTGGCTATGGTAACTGCAGCACACAACGTGAAGACAATGTGGCACCTGTTTGAAATCAGAAAGCAAACTTTCTATGACAACATTCCCAACCATGGTGATGATTTTTTAATGAGATCAGAAGAACTTTAATCTTTGCATTGTCATGTATCTGAGAGACCTCACATGCGCCTCCATTCAGTACCACTGCATGTCAAATTGCAAAGTCAACAAAAAGTGACAAAACTTCAGCTTGGAGATATCAGTGTCCCGTGGAGCGTGGATCTTCAGCCTGGAGTTCTTCTGGGAAGGAGCCCCTTCCTCTCTGCACATGTAGGTCACTGTTCCTTTGTTTCTTCGCCTCTGGGCCTGGAGTCTATTTGACGTTGCCATGCCTTCCTTAGAAATCGCCCAGCACCATGGAAATGCATGGGGCTAAATGGCGGCAACGTCGGACAAGAGGAGGGGAGGGAAGAGAAAGGGCCAGTCAATGAATTTAATTGTTATGGAGGAGGGGAAAAAAGAAAATAGATGCCAGTACTCTTTTGTCCAGCCAGAATGCATGGGCCAGTGTTGATTAAAAAGAGCAGTTTGACCATGCATCTTAAAAGAGAAGGGGGAACCTACTGGAAAGTGAAATACATTTTGTTGAGTTTTGTTTTTTTTACTTTCACTGTGCATAAAAACATTGTGTCATACATAAGATTGTCTTAAATTGAAGGACTTTTTGGCTCATTGGAACAGTAAATTTTGGTCTGTTAAATGTTCTGGTTGCATTGTGTACTACTGCACTACTAATAAAGACAGTCTTCTTTAAGTTCTCCTTCACATCTGTGGATCTGGGTCAAAGTTATCTCTGAAAAGCCTCCGTCAGCTGGTTAGTGACGGATCGAGCATCTGCCGTGACAAAGCGAGTGTTTAAAAGGTACTTTCTAAGCTCAACGCTCCTCACCCCACGGCTGTCTGTTGCTCAGGGTTTCTTTAAAAACATGCCTGGAGTTCTTCTCCTGCTACTAAAGCACTGAGGCCTATTTAAGTGCAGAAGTGCTGAGTTTTACAGCCTGGGATTCATTGCACTGTAGTTGACATGCTAAAGGACTAAGTGAGTCACACTCAAGTCTTTCACTGACCTGTACGGCCTACGCTCGCAATTTCTGGTGACTGCTTAAAAAAGTCAAAATGGGCCTTTTTTAGCCACTAAACTGAACCAGCATGAGTAGCCGAGGTGTTAAAATACACTAATGCATTGCAATTCATTGATCTGAAGTTTGCGATTCAACTTTCTTTAAATTTCAGAATCAACTATAATTAATTGTAATAATATTCAAATAAGTATGAGCTCAAAAAATTAAATTCTCATGGAATTAAATCACATAATCATACATACATCAAGGGTACCAGGACATAAAGAAAAATAACTAAAGGCAAGTTGCCTCAATGCTGTTGGAGTTATTTGTGAACTATTTGCAGTACTGTGCAAAAGTCAGAGACCACCCTGAATTTATTTCATTTCCATTCAAAACTGCAATTAAATACAGGTGATTCATTTTTAAGCATCAGGAAGGAAGCAGAGAAAATATTTAACAGAACATTACATAGAAGCTTCAACAACTAAATATAATATCTTTTTTTCAGTATTTGTAGTGTCCACTCTTTACCTTTATACAGCTTTAATTCTTTTCAGGAGACTCACTTTCAGTTTTTCAGAGAAACCTGCAGGGGTATTTTTTCACATCCTACAAAATTCAGTCTTAGTTGGTTGCAGTTTCTGCTTCTCGCCATTCAAGCAATCCCAAACACATTCAGTGGTGTTGAGGTCTGGACTCTGGGGTGGTCAGTCCATTGTTCATCTTCTTTGTTTGATGTGTCCGTCTCCTTTTCTCAGTAATGTCTTCTTGAACAGCTACACATCCTTTCAGACCCATAGCGCTGAGTTGTCTTCTCACAGTGGAAGGATTGTCAGAAACCCCTGTGGATGTTTTCAGATCTGAAGCAGCTTAACTTTCTTCTTTTTTCTCAAAGACAAGAGCTGTAAGTACTGTTTATCTTATGGGGACAGTTTTAGTCTCTACCAGGTCTTGCAGGTGGTTGTTAGGAATGAGATTTTCTCTGTAGCCTTTAATCATTGTTTTGATTCATCTCCAGTTTTGGAAAGTCAGCAATCTTCTGATAAATTAGTAACTTGTACTTAATCACTGTTTTGACTGGAAATTGAATGAATGAATGAATGGTGGTCTCTGACTTTCGCACAGCACTGTATGCAGCATTACAAAGTTCTCACTTCCAGCAATTTCTGGTGCTTTGCTGCTGTAGCAATCCTGTTGTTAGTTCCTCACTGTAAAAATAATTAGTTTTAACTTAATACACAGTCAGTGATTAGAAGCAACGAAAGCTATGTTTAGTGCTAATACCTTCCCCTTGAGGAGGATCTTCAGCCTGCTAAATGTGAGTGAGTGAGTGAATGAGTGACTGAATGATTTACAAGCCAGATCCATGAGGTTGTTTCGCATCTAAAAAAGTTAACATGGCTGCCTTAAAGTTTAGACCTGATTGAACTTCAAACAATAAATTAACAGAACATTACGCTGATTATTATTCTGTTAATCAAACATTCAAAAAACTCTAAATTTTAAGGCAGCCAGGTTTATGTCTTAAAGTCCTACTTTGAAGCTAAAACAAATTATTTTACAGCAATACTACAACACATGAGCCTCGTGTGGACAGTTTTGCTGACTGCTGCTGTAATGACTTCTTCACGTAAGTAGGTTAATTTGAGCTCTGTGGTCTCGTTCTACCACCCAGTATAACTGTATACCCTTGTAACTAGTTTCCAGTGGGCTCTCTGGCTCATAACTCTGCTTCTATTGTTTAAGTGCTTATAAAGAGTCACTAAGACAGCAGGGCCAGAGCAGTGGGCAGGTATTCATGAGGCCAGTGTGTGGTCACATTGGTCAGTAGGCTGGCCATTGTTGAGGCCCAGAGGAGTCATGCCTTCTGTACGAGGGGGAATTCTGTTTGAGGGGGAAAGTCTGGATGGGTTTTGTGTAGAAAGTGTGAGAAGATTTTTGTCTAATTCATTATGTGATGTGCACTTTGTTCTATTACTATTTTCTGTTGTTTTATATGTAATAAAAATGTACACATTGTACATTAAATGTTATAACTAAACATCCTAATATATGTTTAGAAGTTTTATTCAATATTTTGAATCTTTTGGGGTACTGAATGTAATACACTATACTTAAATTATAAGTAGTATCCTATAATTCACTATGTAAATCAGTTTCTCATCAACTTATCTGTCTCTTTTAGATCAGCACTTTTAAAATACAGGGCATGTTGGATGATAACTTCATTCTTGATGTCATTTAACATAATAACATCAAGAATGAAGATATTTTTATAAATTGCTATAAATTGTGATATACGTTTCATGAATGTTGCTGAAGAAAAAGTGCATCGCTCAACTGAGGCTTTGTTCACACTGTAGGGCAAATCAGATTTGTTTCTTGCATCTGACTTTTTAGACTGACTGTTCGGATTTCAAGTTACAAGCGATCAAATCTGATCTGTATTACTTGCTTTTGCTTGCATATCCACCCTGGCTGCCTTAGTAATGGCACCTAATAGAAACAATCAAGATCCATTTCACAACAAGCGTCTCACTTTTTATTACCTACAGCGTGAACAGAACATAACATTAGTATAGGTTGACCTGGTCACCAGACTCCTTACATGCTACAGGCTGTAGCAGTAAAAGTCAAAGACAGACTCAAATCTTTCAGTGAAGCAGTCACTGTAGACAACAACGTAGACAATGAAAACATGCCTATTAGCCCTTTAATTTGGGCCATAAATGTCAAAACTTGACCAAAACATGAGGAAAAAAACTTACCTTACGATGAAGTTAACTTCCGCTAGCATCCCTGTAGGATTCTAGCTGTTTGTCGACGCTAAGCTAACAGTGGTTCATATTAACATTTTTTGGCAGTTCTAGATAACATGGATGTTTTAAGCATAGACATTTTAAGCAGTAGTAGTTTCTCTCTTTCAGCAATGAGCTCTGGTACAGAGCTGCCGCCACTGTTTTCCATTTCTAACAACTTGCAACAGCTCGTATTCAGAGTCAGTGATGTTTCTAGGATTTCTAGAAGACCTAGAGTGACATTTTTTCTCATAATACTACTCCCACACACTGGAAATCAAAACATGACTGGTTGATTTCTCTGTCACTTCCTAATTATGCTGATAGTTAATCCAACGCTTTAGTCCTTCTCTTCAGCTCTTGAAGTCCTAACCAATAGGAGAGCTCGCTTTCCTATATCTACCTAGACATTGCACAGAAAAACTGATAAGCCAAATTTCTGCTGTGCATTTCAAGGATTTAACCATTTATTCCTCCCAAAACTTCACAATGAAACAAGAATAGTACTGTAATACTGTAATAATACAAGCATGTTTCTATTGAATAAAAGTGAACTAAAAATTACAGAAATGTATTTTTTAGCTCTCAGAAATCTTTAGGCCTCTTTTCTGCCTGAATGTCTGTTAAAAGCTTCTACTCTCTGTGTTGAAGCTGTAATATGTGAATATGCACCACTGACTTTTTTGTCGCACATGAGCCACCACACCCCAAATAATAAAAAGTCTACCTCATCGCTCCGACGCAGGGGCGTCCCAGCTTGTTTGAAGCTCCATATACTGAGGAGCACATTGCACATTGTTTCGTTCAGATTGCTTCGTCCTAGCGAGAGTTATTACAGAATATTCGGGGCCTCTTTCGAGTGAATCTCCCTGTATAATCAGATGTCAGCCACCTGACTAAACAAGGCTGGAGAGATCTCCAGGCAAACAGGGAAAACAGGTGGAAATAGCATTTTTTGGCTATTGTGAAAATGGGTTAGTACTGAAAACAGTGATTCCAAACTTTTAAATAGTAATGTACATAAACTGTGTCTAGTGCTTGTTTATATATATAATATTATAAAGCTTTATATACTGAGTATATAATGTAAAGTATATAAAAGTATCTAATATAAAGTATATAAAATGTGAAAATGGGATTCAGTAAGTGCATAGATCCATCCATCAATCATCTAAACCGCTTATTAAGTGCATAGATGCAAATCATTATTAAATTCTGTATATAAATCTTTCAAGCCTACTACCTTCTCACAGTTCCATTTGGGAGACTTACTGAGGCTGTGAACAGGTTGTTCAATCAGTATTTCTACAGAGCCTATGGCCTTTAGTGTGAGGTTGTGCCTATGCTGAATACTAATAGAAGGCTTTGTTGTGCGCAGTGGTGTACTTTACACATTTTTTAGGTCGCAAAATTGAATGCTTCCACAGAAAACAAAGAAAGCTCCTCCCAGCTCTGCACAAGGCCCTGTCTTTCTTCCATTCTTTCTTTTGTTCTATCAGCCCAAAGATGTCTTTGTGTAATCTTTCACAAAAAGAGAATTTAAAGTTTCAAGTATTTTTATGTATATATTATTCAGCTTTCAGTAAAGCAGACTATATATATATATATATATATATATATATATATATATATATTGTCCAGCCCAAAGCTATCTGCACAAACAGCATCCTGCTGGTGTGTTTACGTACATATGTGTGGCTTGCCTGTTAATGGACATAAATAAGCAGCATTCTGGAGTGCTGGACCGCCTGCTGTTCTTGATGAAGTCTAATGTGCCAAGTTTCACACTGCTTGCGCAAGACTGCTTTAATAAATGAGAGCTATTAGCATCACAAAGCGCTCTACTGAACTGAGGGCTGAGCTAGGAGGCTGGACACGGAGAGCGAGCTGTACTCACCTTTTCCCCCACACAGAGTGCTGGACACAGTGGACGGTGGCAGGACAGACTGGATGCCACAGATATGGTCCTGGATGGATTTGGTTCTGGAGCTTGGACCGGACTAAGGATAGAAGAGGAGAAAAGAACAGACACTTAAAATCAGGTAAATACATACTGGATCACATTCACACTCAAACACGTTAAGGCATACAGTATCTTAGATGTCCTAAATACTAAGTTTCTATGTAGTTTCTTTATAGTTTCTATAGAGAAAAGTAACTTAAATTCAACTAAATACAGGCAGGATGACATTTGCATACAAACACATCTTAGGTGTCTTAAAATACTAATTATAGTTCTATGAGCAAAAGTCACTTCAAATCTAGTCAATACATACCAGATTACATTTGCATATAAACACATAAAGACATACAGTATCTTAGGTGTCTTAAAATACTGATTATAGTTATAGACATACTGGATCATATAATGAATGTTTTTTTTAATAATGTATATTATGGTGCAAAAGTCAGAGCCCAGCCTTTGTTTATCTAATTTCCAGTTCCAGTTTCTGAGGAGATTAGATATGTGATAATTCATTTGCATAAGGAAGGAGAAAGTCAAATGAAAATAAGTAAAAGTTTCCAAAACAGAAGTTCAAAAATATGTTTAAAAGCTACAGAGAAAATGGGGCTCATAGCAACAATGCAAGACCTGGTAGACCACCAATACTGTCCACATCAGATAAAGAGCGCCTAAAGCTTTCATCTTTGAGAGAGAGGAGAAAATCAAGCAGCTTCAGATCTGAAAACATCCACAGGTGTTTCTGTCCATCCTTCCACTGTGAGAAGACGACTCAGCGCTATGGGTCTGAAAGGATGCGTAGCTGTCAAGAAGAACCTCACTGAGAAAAGGAAACAGACAAAGAAGAAGAAAGAGAAGCTGCTCGTGTTCTCAGAACAATGAAGTGACCACCCCAGAGTCCAGAACTCAACATCGCTGAATGTGGGATTACTTGGATTGTACGAAGCAGAAAATGCTAAACCAACTTCTAAGACTGAACTTTAGAGGTGTGGTAAAGATCCCTGCGGATTTCTTTGAAAAACTGAAAGTGAGTCTCCTGAAAAGAGTGAAGGCTGTAATAAAGGAAAAGAGTGGACACTTTAAACTAAAAATTTTAGATATTTGAGTAGTTGTTGAAGCTGTTTAATATATGCCGAAAAATAGCCTTTTTGACTGGTCACTGACATTCGCACAGTATAGTCATTTTTTAGTCATCATTCTGTGTTTTGTTTTGTTTTGTTTTTTTTTAACAAAATGAGTTAGTTTTTTATGAGTTATGTCATTACCAACTTATTTATTTATTTATTTTTGGGAAAGCTACACTGTACAAAGTGGCTCGTCAGACCAACCTAAAAAACGACATCATGTGGCAACAAGTAAATTAACTACATTTATTTAACCTAAATAAATACTTTGAATGAACGATTCTTTCTATCAGTGTAATTTTTCGAGTTGAATAAAACTAGTTCTATCGCTCGTTACCACATAAAGTATTTTTTTAGGTTGATTAGGTTGACTTTTAAGGCCAGAGTACATATACATATAATAAGGCTGACCTATGCATCTTCTACCTCCGACATCTTGTGTCTCACATTCAACCACAGCAAGACAGATGTGTGAGAACACACACCAAGAAGCGCTGTGAGGAACAAAAGAGACCCTGCCTCAGCTTCACTCGCTCCTGTAAGTCCACTCTCCTTATTCCTACACAAAGTACTTGTAGTGTATGAGCTTCATTTCATTTTTGTAATGTGTGCTACACACTGAGGTGTTTTGCAGAGAATGCAGAAGTTGTAATCTTTTTTTGGGGGAAAGCAGAACACTGCTTTCAAAATAGAGGAACTCAGTCTCACTGCAGGTCTGCGCAGTTGCTACATCACTGCTGTGCTGTTCAGTCTGTCAGACAGGAAAAGTCTGCTGTTGTGTAGAATTCCAAACTAAACGCTCGAGACCAAGACAACTGATTTACTAGACGCTTCTTTTCATTCTTCTTTGACTTTTAATGGCCTTTTATGGTTGCTGATTGTTATTCCTTACTGCTCGTCTCTGCTTTATCCAGATGGGAAGATGCCTCCTGTGCTACTGATGGTGATTTTGGCCAAAGCAATGGTAAAATTACATAAAACTAGATTACAAAATCTCAAAAATAACAAATCATTTTAAAGCATTTTGTCTGTCCTTGATGCGTTTTGATGGCCATAGTGCTAAAAATGACCTTGCAGCTCCTACTAAGATTTAGCAAATGCAACACATTAAAACGCCTTCGTGACTGTGTTATTTTCTGTGTTTTTTCCGTATGAAGGTTGTTGGTGTATGTGAGCCAGTTCAGTCTGAGCCAGAGAGGTGTTTTGTGGGTGAGTCACTGAGTTACTCTATAGACTTTTACTAAACACAATAGAACTGCACTGCGCTTAAAAAGATGGTTCGTCAAGGGTTCTTTAGTAAAGGGAATAGCTCTATTTAGAACCATGAGTTCTATATAGAAGCATTTCATGCTGAAATGGTTCTTTGCATGGTGAAATGGATAGAGAATGTGTTGTATATGGTTCTATATAGCATCAAAATGGGTTCTTCATTGTCACAATGTCAAGCTTGTAACAATAGAGGAACCCTTTTTGGCATTATATAGAACCATTTTCATAAAGGTTCCATATAGAACCATACATAACACATTCTCCATCAATCTGAAGAACAATTTCACCATGAAAACAACAGTTTAAGCATGAAATGGATGTGTGTGTATATATCTATATCTAAATAGATCAGTACTAAAAACCCTTTTGAGAACCATCTTTTTAAGAGTATATGGTTAGAACTGCAGTAACAGAGTTCTGTCCAGCTAAACACCATTAAAACATAACCAAAACACACTGAACAGCAGCATTTTTCTAGCACTGTCACCAGTATCACCGCTAACTGTGTCACTACTACAGTATCAGTGACCAGAACTTAAATTAAAGCTACGCTCATTACATTCACTAAGTGTGCATTTCCTTGTCGCGTTTCTTTTCAGTACTCAAATCACCTTTTAGAACAAAATAATGTTGTGTTCAACTTGGCTCAGAAGTGGGAAGTCATAGCATGGAGTTGCTCAATTTTCAACCTCTGCCTATTCAAGCTACAAAGTGGGGAAAACATGGATGCTGCCATGAAAGCGAGTTGTTAGCAACAAGCTATCCAGCTAACATAAGTGATACATGGGCTAACTTTACTGTTCATGATGTATTTATCTTCTCAAAACAGTCAACTTGGTCAGTGTTGCAGGTTAAACCAACTTCTGTGTCTGTATGTTGACTTATATAAGCAGATTTCATTTAAAAGTAGAGAAACTGTACTTTATTACAAATGATGGTGTGAGCAGCCATGATGACTTGATGTCAGATGCTGAGTTCAGCTGAGGCTTGTAACTTCACATCTCCAACCAGGAAAAATCAAGGAAAATGCCCCTCACAACTGGGAATTTGTACTTGAAATTTTACTCCAAGCTCAGCATGTGATGTCAAGTCAACATCACTGCTCACACCGTCAATGTTAATAAGCAGCACTTCTCTACTTTTAGGTGATTTTGCTTTAAATCAGTCAACAAACAGACACAGAGTTTGGTTAAATCTGCAACACTGGCTATAAAGTTCACTGTTTTGAGAAGGTAAATACATCACGAATGTTAAAGTTATCACTCTTATCACAAACATTAGCTTGCTTGCTAGCTTGTTGCTAACAGTACTAGCTTTCATGGAGGCCTATTGATACACGGGGGTCTAAAATGTCACAGTTCCAAGCTGACTTACCACTTCAAAGTCAAGTCGAATGGAGAAATATGGTAAGCTTTCTGAGTAGGAATTAACAGCTGAGGGATATTTTTGTGGGAAATTTTGAGTTACGAATTTCAGTTGAAGTCAGCATAAAAATGACTTAGCTTACCACCACAAGATGCAATAAAATGTCTTTTCTTTGCTAAATACTTACCATGTTTCTATTTTCTGTTTGTCATTACAGAATGAGAATCACAACAACTCTTTATTAAACTCAGAGTGCAGTTTTATTAAACTTATAGTGCCGGTGCCTGTTAGCTAGCTAATTTAGCTAATAAGCTAACACTCAAGGTAAGCTAATAGGTTAGCCAATAAACTGGGTGGAACTTTGAGCATTGGACCACTGAACTTTCTTACTGTAATAATGACCTAAAATTGAATGAAGTCATTCTTAATTATTTATATTATTTAAGTTACATTTTCTTTATTAGCACTTATATGTATTTAAGTGAGTTATCCACAAAGCGATACTAGATTTTCAGTACTCTCTCCACCCTTGTTTTTAATATGGATGCACCGATTGAGAATTCAAGGCTGATGCCAGCAGCCGATATTTCCACATACATATATGCTGATGCCAATACATAAACATTTATAAAATGAAATTGAGACTACATATACTTTAATCAGCATTACAGAGAAATGTAACATGTACTTGTACATGGGTTACAAATGCAGTAAAATGAGTAAAATACAGATATTTTAGCACAGAAACCCAGCGACACCTAAACGTTCTGCTATAATAAATACATCATCAGATATAAATCGGTCAACATGATTCTGATGTCATTGTGCGTCTCTAGTCAATAAGCACACTGTGTTTTTGAAAAAAACACAATGTGAGGGAACCACGATCATAACAAAGTATACAACCTTCTCCCATGACAGGCTCTGGGGGCCAATCCCATGTGTTTCTGAGCTCACACACAGTCTTCCAGCTTGTGAACGCTTCCTGCAGCTTCTCTCAGGCCTGGCATTACTGTCAGAGCTGCTTCAGTTCCCTCACCGTTCTGGGACAGCTGGAGGATGAAGATGGAACAAGACAGCTACTCAATCAGGCCAACATGCAGGGTCCCATTTGGGTCAGAATCAGCAACAGTCTGGCCCCCACATCCACACTGACCCTGTCCAAACCAAGTGAGTAGATGTTTACAGGCATGTTTTACCATTTTGGCTGAAATATTGGTAGTTTGAGGGCAATGTGCCCCTATAAGCTAAATTTCTATCGTTGACATTTTCTGTTCATTCATTAAGTATTTAAAATCAGATATCTGATCTGTGGTCAGGGTTCCTTACTGTTCATTAGAATGTAAATGGCCAAAACTGATACTAGATCAGTATTCTTACTCTGAGAAGTTTGATAAACATGGCTGCTGTGCTTTAGTGATAGTAAGAGTATTGGTGACACTTATGCTTCATTGATTAATGGTGTCTTTTTCAGAAATGGGTTACTAGCTACAATTACTATAGTACAGGTTCTTCAAATTGTGATGGATTTATATTTTCCTGAACTTTACTTACCTAAACTGGCTAGTACAACTTAAAACTTTAAACTTTAAAAATGAATGTCTCTCTCTCTCTCTCTCTCTCTCTCTATATATATATATATATAAAATATTTCCTGTTTAATATATATATAGAATATATATATATATATATATATATATATATATATATATATATATAATGGCAAGCCAAACAGGAAATATTTAATGAACATTGATATATATATATATATATATACAATGAACTTTGATATATATACAATGAACTTTGATGTACATGGATCGAACATTGAGATGAAAAAATGAATAATATAATTCATAAAATGTTTTGTTTAGACAGAGAGGGACTGTAGCCTTGCACCCTCCCTAAACAGACTGTTTACATTGTTATGTAATGTTGCTATGTTGTTGTTCCTCAGTTACAGTGTGTGTTTGTGTTTACTGTGTTATTTTGTGTCCAGCTCAGAGTTAGGGAGAGTGTGTTTGTGTTTGGTGACCATCAGAAGAAAGAATAGGGCTAGGAGTGACCTACCTCAATTTTCAGTTGCTTTTCAAGTGGCAGTGTTTTCCCTTGCTCTCAATGAAAGAGCATTTTTCAAACAGAAGTTATGGCCTCATCTGACTCTTCTTCTGCACCATGTCAAATTGTGTATATATTGAAGCTCCACCCATCTGTGTCTTCACATTATATATCAGCCACTCTCAGGTCATTCTGTCCACGGGATCACTGTGTATAGATACTGGTCACTTTATCAGAATTCCCTTCCTTTAACTCCACCTGGAGTTTGTTAATGCCCATTTATTGATGTACAGTTTTTCTTGGCCATCCTCAACCCTTCAACAGCGACTTTCATTCAATATATATCAAAGTTCATTCCATATATATATCAATATTCATTAAATATTTCCTGTTTGGCTTGCCATAATATATATATATATATATATATAATATATATATATATATATATATATATATATATATATATAGGTATATACCGATCAAGCATAACATTATGACCACCTCCTTGTTTCTACGCTCCATTTTATCAGCTCCACTTACTGAATAGGAGCACTTTGTAGTTCTACAGTTACAGACTGTAGTCCATCTGTTTCTCTGCATACTTTGTTAGCCCCCATTTACCCTGTTCTTCAGTGGTCAGGACCCTCACAGGACCACCACAGAGCAGGTACTATTTGGATGGTGGATCATTCTCAGCACTGCAGTAACACTGACGTCCTGGTGGTGTGTTAGTGTGTGTTGTGCTGGTCTGAGTGGATCAGACATGGCAGTGCTGCTGGAGTTTTTAAACACTATGTCCAATCACTGTCCACTCTATTAGACACTCCTACCTTGTTGGTCCACCTTGTAGATGTAAAGTCAGAGACGATAGCTCATCTGCTGCTGCACAGTCTGTGTTGGTCATCCTCTAGTCCTTCATCAGTGGTCACAGGATGCTGCCCACAGGACACTGTTCGCTGTATATTTTTGGTTGGTGGGCTATTCTCAGACACTGAGGTGTTTAAAAACTCCAGCAGCACTGCTGTGTCTGATCCACTCGTACCAGCACAACACACACTAACACACCACCACCACGCCAGTGTTACTGCAGTGCTGAGAATGATCCACCACCCAAATAATACCTGCTGTGGGGGTTCTGACCATCAAATAACAGGGTAAAAGGGGGCTAACAAAGTACACAGAGAAACAGATGGACTACAGTCTGTAACTGTAGAACTACAAAGTGCTCCTATATAGTAAGTGGAGCTGATAAAATGGACAATGAGCGTAGAAACAAGGAGGTGTTTTTGATGTTGTGCTGATTGGTATATATATGCTGGTTTCCGTGCACCAGAAATTGGTACTACAACAAGAGCATTTTACCAGATTATCTTAAAAATGACCGCAGATTAGTTTAAAAAAGGACCGTTGCCCACAGGACTCTGTTGGCTGGATATTTTTGGTTGGTGGACTATTCTCAGTCCAGCAGTGACACTGAGGTGTTTGAAAAAACTCCAGCAGCACTGCTGTGTCTGATCCACTCAGACCAGCACAACACACACTAACACACCACCACCACGCCAGTGTTACTCCAGTGCTGAGAATGATCCACCACCCAAATAGTACCTGTTCTACAAAGTGCACCTATATAGTAAGTGGAGCTGATAAAATGGAAAATGAGTGTAGAAACAAGGAGGTGGTCATAATGTTATGCCTGATCGGTGTATATATGTATATAAATATAAAGAAATTGGCTTAGTATTTCATGCACAGCTATTCTGTTTAGTCTCTCTGATATATTGCATTGGTTAGCAGTTAGCATCAAGTAGGATTAAGCAGGGCGTTTCTTCTTATCAGTGGTGTATGCAGTCACTTAGCGTCCCCAAGCCACTAGGGGGCTGCAAAAAACGTACTTTTTTGTTCATTTATTCGATACATATTTATGCATTCAGAGGAAAATAACTGGGGTGAGTTAGGTAGGATATCAAGTAGGATATGTAACAATACAACATACTGCATTGGGTTGGATCGTAATACAGCGTATTGTATCATATCATATTGTATGTCATGACTAGTATGTTTGCTTGTGGCTAGTGTGTTAGCTCGGGACTAACATATTAGTGGCTAGAGTGTTTGATAGGGACAGTATGAAGCAAAACTGTTGTTTCAAATGTTTGGGACATGACGATCTTTTGAATAATGCAACTGAGACACTAGCCACGTTTACATGCAGCCTGATAATCCGTGAATAATCCGACTAATAGCTCAATCGGAATAGAATACGTCCATGTAAACACCTCAATCGGAATAGTCTAATCCGATTGAGGCCATTCGGAATACAATTTCTATCCGATTAAACGAGGTGGGTAAACTTCTAAATAATCCGTTAAATAGAAGAATAATAGCCATGTAAACGCCTGAATCCGATTACATTCCAATCGGAACGTATAAGTATGTTCTGCGCATGTGCGTCGCGTCACGGCGAAAGTTTACACCGCTCAACATGGCGGAGCAGAAACTGGTCTGGACCTCACGTGATGTTCGCTGTCATGGTAACGTTAACTCTAAGCGCTACTCCACGCACGCGCGTCATTTTGCATCGGATTACTTGTAGTGAGCATGTAAACGAAGGTTTTCCATCAGATTGTTGAATAGAGTGCATATAAACACCTCAGTCTACATCTGTAATCGGATTGTATTCAATCGGATTGGCAAAAATCGTTGCATGTAAACATAGCCACTGTATCGTACACTTTCACTTAGCGAAATTGCCTTCTCCCCACTTTGTTGTAATAACTTGATAGATGTTGAATAGAAGTTCTACTTTAGTTCAGTGGTGAGATGTAGTATTTGCCTCTATTTTTTAACTTAATTTGGTTTTGGTAGCTACTTCTACTTCTGCTTGAGTCATTACTTCGATGTTAACATCGATGTAAACAAGAGTTTTACTCAGGAGTGATTTAATACACAGGCTTACCTGAGTAATTCATGGCCTCTGATTGGCCATTTTTTTAAATAGATTTATATATTCCCCCTACCCAGATTGATCACAGGCCTACAGAATTTAAATGGGGAAAGAACATTTATTAAGCTGACTTTTATGATAATGAAATTTGATATGTTTTCTGTAAGCGATGTCACTGTATTATGTCCAATTACATTATTACACTCTACACCAAGCTCCGCCTTATTTTCTCAGCCCTCCAATCACTGTTTAGCAACCATTGCTCTCTGCCATTGCCTTAAGCCTTCAGTTTGCTATCAGCGAGCCAGTCTTTGACTCTCAAGCTCCAGTTGCGGTTAAGAGATGTAACTGAGCATGTGCAAAAGTGAGAGTCCATCCCATAGAGTCATCAACTTCCTTTTTTCTGCACATTTTTACAATGCTGTTTTACTACTTTTACTTGTGTCCACCAAGTTGGCCTACCTACTTTTCAGCAGACCTACCTGCTCATTTCCGTTGATCATATGATAGACAATAGCTTGCGAGCACCGCGGTTTTGTTGGTGATGTTGATTGTTTCACTGAGTAAACTGTACCACATACCGCTGGAGAAGCATTACGCAAATGACTGGACTGAGTGCAGCAATCACATATGAGCTCTGTGTTAAAGTTCATCTCAGATTCTGTGCATATTTCAATCCTTGCCCATCGATGACTTTTGGCTCTTTCTATGAATAGGGTTCAATTACGCCACATTACCTTTTCAAAAGCAATGAAATGACTGTTGTTTTTTATTTCTGTAAAAAGTGATCTGTACTTTAACTTAACATAGAATTAGGACAGTTAGCATTTAAATGATCACAATAACAAATAAACTGTCCATATCCACCTTAAAAATTCTGATTTTCGGTCTCTCCCACCTCACTGACATTGAACTTCTCTATGAAATTTATTAATTAAAATCTTGCAGTAGCGCCATAATTACATTGTTATTTGGTTAAAGGAATTTAATGTTAAAAGAATTAACAAATAAGTTATTTAATTTAACAAAATAAGCCCAGACTTGCCCCCCTTGTAAAACAATGGAACATTCCATTTACTTTGATATAAACAGGAAGTTGCCTCATCTTGTTGTTTCATCTCGTTGTTTGAATGACCGTCAGACAAGTCAGTAATCTCATTTTGTTTACGTACAAAAAACTCGTTTGGCTGCCTGGATAAAGTTTGATCATTCAACCCTGTTACCAAAATTATTGTTAGAAAAAAGAATAAATATTTACATTTTATAATTTATGTAAACTATGTGGTCATTAGCAGTTAGCATGCAACATGTGCACCCTGTCAGGCTAACCACTCCTGAATGCTAACGCTATCAAGCTTATTTTAGGCTAAATTCGCAACCCTGTTAACCAGTTTTTAACCTTCAGTTATATTAATGAAAATGAAATGAAAATGGCTTGAGACAAAGATTTTAATGAAAACATTTTAACTTATTTTTTTCAGCTTTCTCTTCTGCTCTATGTTGTATACTTTGTGTTTTTTACTGGATTAAATCAACTAAATGGGGAAAATGATCTCTGTTAGCTACCCAGTCATTTCTGGTGAAAATAGCTCATATAGTATCTGATTTCACAGCCTGGAAAATAACATTATCTGAAGCTTAAACGCTTACTTTGATTAAAAAAGTACATTTTAAAGAGTTTTGTGACATAAAATGAACTTGGTTTAAGGAAAGTGTCCTTTGGCTGTTTAAATTTGGTAAGGCTGAAACATCCTACACTCAAAAAAATGATTTATGGCCATCATAAAAATTAAGCAAATATTTTACATAAAACTTAAAAAGCATAAAAATATACTTTACTTATTTATATTCATTAGAAGCAACCCAAGTTGGATAAATCCAAAACTGATTTAATTGAATTGTGTAAGACCTTTTAGATTTTTCTTAATTTTCATCAACTTAATTTGGGTTTTTAATGTTTTAGACTATATTAATGTTTCATTTTGCTTATTTTGAGAGATACTCTAGACAACACCAGTGGAATAGCTTGTTAGCATCCTTGCTAGGTCTGCTGTCATGTTAACAGGTACAAAAGGTAGATTAAATAAACAATGGGAGTGATTTACTGTGAAGCAGTATATAAAGATGTATTACATCAATATTCAAATCAACAGTTCATGTTGTTGTAACTGTAGGTGACCTCGACATGTTAGCATGGCATGAAGTGACTGATAGCATTAGCTGGCTAACTGGCATGATGTTTAGCATTAGAGTTGCCCCTCAATAGGAATGTTGTGAACATAAACATCTGCTTTAATTAGTAGTTCAGCTGCGAGTGAATAGAAATTCTAATCCAGGGAATCTGATCACAGCTGAAATATATAAAGTTATGTTTATTTCTTTCACATTAGACTTTAAAGTTTACGTTTCTTGTAATTTGCCTCAGCAAATACTGTTTAATACAGTTTGGAGTACAATAATGTTTGTGAATTTAACATGTATAGTCATTTAATACATTTACACAGTAACTGTGCTGTGAATACAGAAGGAACTATTAACTCTTTAGAAATACATAAATATTATGTAAAAGAAGTGCATAAATAATTGCAAGTACTTCTAATTTAAACGTTATTTAATTCATTCAGGTTTATTGAACATGATGGAGAAACAGATTATAATACCAGTTTTACATTGGATTTATGTATTTAAACTGAATGGAAAATGGAATGAATTGAATGAAATTAAAATACACAAGTTTTAACTTTTGGTCTTAAATATTTTTTTTGAATGCATTTGCCAGCTTCTTTTGTGTTCCATCTTAAATGGTGCTGCACCAGAATGCAACTGCGGCACCATTTAAGGTGGAACGGAAAATCTGAAGACGAACCTGGCGGATGTGACGTTAACTTCAGCTTGGTTTAAGCTTGTACAGTAAGAGAACCTCGATGATGGTGGTTCTGAAAGTTGTTGACTGGACACTGTGTGTTGATAAGCCTGTAGGGCCGACGACCACCGGTGGTCCCAGAGCCCCCCGAGCAGAATAAAGCGCCCCTGGTTTTATTCGAGTCTTTCTTTCGGCCATTCTGCCCTCGTTTTCATTCTCTCTTTTTCTCTTCCTTCCACAGATGTCCTTCTCTCGGCCTTGTCCTTCACCGCAGACTCCCGGGACGGCCACGCTCGCGCGCGAGCCTCTTTCCCGCCCCTGGCCTCCGCGAGCATGTGCGCGCGCGTCCAGTTCGATGCGCGTCACGAGAGCGTGTCCACGCTGTTCTCGTACGCGACGCGCGCACTCACCAACGAGTTCCAGCTGCGCGCGCGCGCGGACGAGACGCGGCGGCGCGTGCTGCTGGCGCCGATCGTGCACGGCAGACACCACGCGTACCGAGCCTCGTTCCCCAACGACGCGCGATGGCACCACGTGTGCGTCACGTGGCGCAAGCGCGACGGACTGTGGGCGGTTTACGTGGACGGAGAGAAAGGGGAGTGGGGCACGGGCACGGAGCCGTCCCGGGACATGCACGGGCAAGGGATCTTTATTCTGGGACAAGACCAGGATTCGTTCGGTGGAAACTTCACGGAGCCGTTTGTGGGCAACATAACGGATGTAAACGTTTGGGACGTGACGCTGGACGACGAGCAGGTCCGGAGGCTCGAGGACTGCACCAGTCCAGTGGAACCGAAGCCGCTGTTCAGCTGGCACGAGCTCAACCTGACCCTCCACGAGGTGAAGGAGGTGGCCGCGGTGATGCAGTGCCCAGGTGAGTAAAGACCTGCTCAGTCACAGTTAGACAAACACAGCTGTGAAGAAAACAGAAACACTGTGCAGCCAAAAGTATGCGAACACCTGTCACCTCCACATCGCACCCATGTGAGCCTGTTGGACATCCTAGTCCAAAACCGTGGGCATTGATGTTGAATGAGAAGGCCTGACTCGCAATCAACGTTCCAGTTCGTCCCAAAGTTGTTTAGGGGGGTTGAGGTCAGGACTCTGTGCAGGTCACTGGAGTTCCTCCACACCAAACTCATCAAGCCATGTCTTTGTGCACAGGGGCTCAGTCATGCTGGAACAGGAAAGGCTCTTCCTCAAACTGTTACCACAAAGTTGGAAGCATGTAATTGTCTTAAATGTCTTTGTATGCCGTAGCATTAACATCACCCTTTACTGGAACTAAGGAGACCAAAACCTAAAAAAAACAGCCCCTGACCCATTATCCCTCCTCCACCTAACTTTACTGTTGGCACTATGCATTCCGGTAGGTAGCGTTCTCTTGGCTTCCACCAAACCCAGATTCATCCATCAGACATCATCACTCCAGAGAACGTTTCCACTGCTCCAGAGTCCAATGGCGGCGTGCTTCACAGCACCCCAACCGACACTTAGCATTGTGCATTTTGATCTTACGCTGCATTTACACTGTTCCGGCACATAGACAGACGTGAACGCACTCCCTCATGCTGGCTGCATGTGGGCTTTAACAAAAACGTTCCAATTAAATAATGTCCTGCTAAGTCAAACTTTAATTAATAAATGTGCTGATTTTCTAATAATCAAAAACCAAATTTAGTATGTTATTAATTACAAATATATACATATATTTAAAAATATCTAGGTTGAAAATTGTTTGGAGCTTTTCCTCCATGCTCCACCGGAACGTTTGAATATGGCACAAATATTTTATACATTGCGTTGTGAACATATATCGTGCAAACACCAGCTGTCTTCTGATTGGATAGACGTATCGCGTTGGCCGGATTTATCTGCATAAAGTTCAGCTCGGCTCAACTTTTTGCCGCACCACATTCCCCAGACTCAACGCCCCGGACCCACCATGCTCTGCTTCCATTGAAAATGAATGGGATACGCTGCGGTGTGTCGACGTGCTGGAGCAGTGTAAATGCAGCCTTAGGCCTGTGTGCGGCTGCTTGGCCTGGAAAAGCCATTTAATGAAGCTCATCACACACAGTTCTTGTGTTGGTGTTGCTTCCAGAGGCCATCTGGAACTCTGTGGGTTTGCGTGGTCTACCTCTTTGTGGTCAGTTGACATTTCCATTTCACAATAATAGCACTTTCAACTGACTGGGGCAGATCTAGCAGGGCAGAAATTTCACAGACTGACATGTGGCAAAGGGGACAGTGTCATGTTTAAAGTCACTGAGCTCTTCAGTGTTACCCTTTCCACTGCCAGTGCCTGTGGAGACTGTAAGGCTATGTGCTTGATTTTATCCACCTGTTAGCAACGTGTGTGACTAAAAGACCTGAACTCAATAATTTGGAGGGGTGTCCCAATACTTTTGGCCTTATATTGTATGTGTTACAAAACTTATAGATAAGAAATATCAGCTCTTCTAAGTCCTTTCCTGTAGAACTTTCTTAGTACATCCAGCATCAGCATAGGAGCTGAAGATTGTTAGGCTCGGTTTTTCTCTTTTTGGCATCCTTTCAGTCTAAACTATAATGCTAAAGCTTCAAAGTCAGAGGTATTAGCAAGAATGAATTAGTGACTGCTCAGAGCCAACTGCAAAATGTCACCATAAAGGTGCCAAAAAGGCTAATGGCAGTGATGCCATAGAAGAACAGTTTTTGATTTCCTTAAGAACTTTTAAAAAATGTTTTTTTTAATTAACCATTTTTGTAACTAAGGTGTGTGAGGAGTGAAGAACCTTCTTAAAGGAGCTTCACATAGAGCCAAGGCTCTATATAAATTAAAGATTTGATGTCAGAATCAGCAACGATTTAGGAACAAGTTTGTAAGACTGCTCAACCCAACTGTGAAGCATGGCGGAGGTAGCATGATGGTGTGGGACTGTTTTGCTGCATCAGGGACTGGATGGTGGATGAGTGCAATCATTGCAAGGCAGATGAATTTTAAGTTGAATCAGAATGTCAGGATGTCTGTGACCTACAACTAGAAAGAAATTGGATCATGCAGCATGTCAGTGATCCAAAATCAAGGAGTAAATGAGCCTCAGAACAATTCAAATAGAAGAATTTGACTCCTAAATCAATCCCATTAAAATGCATTGAATCCCACAAAGCTGAAAGAATTGCGTGAGGGAATGTGCTGATATACCGTCTATCTTCTACCACTCAGGACTCATCAGCAGCTACAGAAAGCGTTTGAGATCGAGGTGCTTCTATCGATAGGTTTCAAGGACAGTGGCCTTGATTGACTAAACCAGGAGACTGCGCTATGTGTGATGTCTGTTAAATATCAGAACACATTACATTTTAGATCATGCAGAAATCCAAGTAATTCTGAAGCTTTTTGTCTCATAAGAGAAGATTTTAGTATCTACAGTAGGAGTTAGGGATGATGAAGTAATGGACAGAGGCCTGGTCCCAGAACACAATCGCACAGGGTGCACTAAGTCCTATTGTAGGTAGATTAGTTTAACCTGGTGAGCTGCTGTAATCTGAGTGATAACTGAGGTGGTGAATCTGTCATGTCCGTAGTTTTAAAAGTCTCCCAAGTAATAATTCCACAGCGAATTACCTTTAAATTTGTTAACCTCAGAGCTCCGTCATTAACAGTGGTCCAGCTCGCTTAACCTCATGATAATGTAATAACAAATCCTGCTAATAGACAGCGACACCTGTTTTTAGACGAGTCTAAGCGATGAAATCTTGGCACAGTTCTGTTATCCTCATGTTCAAAACAGGATGACTGTGATCGAAAACATTTTTGGCCTAATTAGAAGAATGATGAAAGTGAAATATCTGTGAAGGAGAACCTAAAAGCCAGAGTGATGTAGCACCCAATAACATAACCATTTCCCATTAATTTCATAGCCCAGAAATGTAATAAATGTAGCACTTGTAAATGTAATAAATCCCAGTAATAATAACTCACCCAATAGTGTAATACAATATTTTACCTGATAATATAGTAATACATTTAATGATAATGTAATACCTTTTCACACTATTGGAAATTTATTGGGAATAAATATTACTATATTAAATATCTTTATATGTTTTTGGGTTTTATTTAGGGTTGGGCAATATGACAGCATTGGGATAAATTTTGTCACATTATACAACAGTTAGTTCCGGCCGTGCAAGCTGATTGGTTGAGAAGTGTTCTAATCGTGCTGTTATTTCACCTTAACATCACAGGTTTTTCACAAACACTGTATCACTCCGCTGAGACGCGGTTGCTAAGTAACGACTTTGACAGCTGTAGGAGACGCTCAAGCCATTTGAACGTTTATACTTCTTACTTTGCCACAAACAGAAAATGGACACTTTTAAGATCACATTTGACCGACAGCCGATTTGCTCAGACTCTGAAGATGAGACGACACTAAATTCCCAAACTGTCAGTCGGTCTGTGTGGAGCTGGAGAACGAACTGCCGGCTGTGCAGCGAGTGGGCGGAGCTCGTTACTCCGACGCAGCAACAAGCTGCTTGTTAAGGAACTATAATTTGGTGAAGGAACTGCGAACATTAAAACATATTAAATGCCGCGTTCACGGCCCAGTTTATTAATTTAATACTTTATTTATTTAACTGTTGTATAAAAGCAATAGAACACTTGAGGTCGTGTGTTATCGCCAACCTCTCGTGTTCTATTGCTTAAATACATCACAAAAAGCTTTTCTGATTGTATTGTGAATATTATAAGTGTCAGTACTTAAAGAACACCGACCAGCTGCATGTTTCATTATAAAGAGAGCATAATTTGTCCTGTTTGCTTGTATTTAGAACATTAAATACAAATAAGTTGTACTAAAAGTTTTTGCTAGTACTTTTTTCAAAATGTGGGATTACTGAATTTTTTTTTGTCTGTTTCAACCTGTCAGATGTCTGAAAAAAAAGACATATTGTGTCATATCATACCATGTAAAAATTTCTTGAAGCCATCACTAGTTTTATTACAATTTTTATCAAGTTAAGTAGAAACTGTTATTTACATTTGGGGTTTATTAAATTTTTCTAATCTTAACGCTGAAGTGAATGTGCGATAATGTTTCGATCCGGCTGTCTGGGGTAATTCGGGAAAATTATATAGATATTTTATTCTAGCCAGTCGAATCCCTTACAAATGACATTACCAGACCTCCTCTGGTAAATCTAATCCAGTTTAAATAGGACTTTAGAAATAAATAGGGGCACACATTAGCGGATGTCCAGTAGCAAGCACCGAAAACACTAACACTAAGTCTTCTACTCTACCATAGCCTTCATTTATACCTAACACTGTCTGTGTACGCTATCACACCAATACACAGGACTTAGGTAGGATTTTTAAATACACTTTACCTCATAGCTTAACTGAGAAATAAACATTTGCAGTGCAGTATTTTCAAAGCTAAAAGGCTTTGGCTTTTTAATGAACAATCAAATTTTCAAAAATGACCACCTCCTTGTTTCTACGTTCATTGTCCATTTTATCAGTTCCACTTACTATATAGGTGCACTTTGTAGTTCTACAGTTACAGACTGTTGTCCATCTGTTTCTCTGATACTTTGTTAGCCCCCTTTTACCCTGTTCTTCAGTGGTCAGGACCCCCATGAACCCTCACAGAGCAGGTACTATTTGGGTGGTGGATCATTCTCAGCACTGCAGTAACACTGACGTGGTGGTGGTGTGTTAGTGTGTGTTGCGCTGGTCTGAGTGGATCAGACACAGCAGTGCTGCTGGAGTTTTTAAACACCTCAATGTCACTGCTGGACTGAGAATTGTCCACCAATCAAAAATATCCAGCCAACAGAGTCCTGTGGTCAGCGTCCTGTGACCACTGATGAAGGACTAGAGGATGACCACCACAAACTGTGCAGCAGCAGATGAGCTATCGTCTCTGACTTTACATCTACAAGGTGGACTGACAAGGTAGGAGTATCTAATAGAGTGGACAGTGAGTGGACATAGTGTTTAAAAACTCCAGCAGCACTGCCGTGTCTGATCCACTCAGACCAGCACAACACACACTAACACACCACCACCACGTCACTGTCACTGCAGTGCTGAGAATGATCCACCACCCAAATAGTACCTGCTCTGTGAGGGTCCGTGGGGTCCTGACAACTGACGAACAGGGTAAAAGGGGGCTAACAAAGTATGCAGAGAAACAGATGGACTACAGTCTGTAATTGTAGAACTACAAAGTGCTCCTATTCAGTAAGTGGAGCTGATAAAATGGACAATGAGCGTAGAAACAAGGAGGTGGTCATAATGTTATGTCTGATCGGTGTGTGTACATGTCCTAAATTTGTAGACACCTGTTTATCCAACGTTTCTTCTGAAATCAGGGGTATTAATAGGGACTTTGCTGCAGTAACAGCCTCTACTCCTCTGGGAAGGCTTTACACTAGATGTCAGATTGTTGCTGTGAGGATCTAAATGCATTCAGCCACAAGTGCATTAGTGAGGTCAGGTACTGATTTTGGATGATCGCTTCTGGACACTCCAGCTCATCCCAAAGATACTGGATGAAGCTCCATCACTCCGGAGAACACAGTTCCACATGTGCGCAATTAAAGTTTTATCATAATAAATGATATAAGTGATCGAAATTCAATTACAAAATACCACATATAAGTATTACAGAACCTCACACTACACCATACATTTTCCCTAGTAGTGATATAATTACCAACTGGGCGAGCTTCTAACATTGCTTATTCATTTATAATGATAACAATGTTGCATATAAAAATAGCATGAAACACTGTTAACTTCCACTGGTTCTCTGCGTGCGTTTGGTTGGAAATTAAAACTATTGCCTTCTTCTTGGCAGTTTTTCTCTACATTTGATCCCATTATCTTCAATCTACACTAGTCCATTTTACCCTTTACTGGAGAATATATCGGAATCAGCATTCACAGAAGTTTTCAATAACAATGAGTCTATATTTACCTCAGATCATATCAGCATGTCTATGACTGACTGCAGTAGGCTTGAACATCTCCCATGGTGGGATCTGTAGAAACAGACAAAAACGAACCAATCTAAATTGTCTTACTATACCAGCCTTGGCACTCAAACACAGCATCGGTATTGGCGATAGGGATACCAATAACTATGACCGAGACCACAAAACAATTTCTTACGCATGTCGATATGTGGGCATGTGGGTTAACAAGCAGTGGTTTAAAAAGCTCATGGCAGAATTTGTAATTGCAGTATTTGTAGACAGGTGTTTATACCAGTTGGAGTTCTTCCTAAGCTTTTAGTTTCACCAGTATGTCACACCACATAATGCTTCATACAAACAACATAAAACACACTAACAGGAGCCGAGCAGCTTCTTTCAGTAATCACTTCTTTCTCACTCTGTAGTCAGTTACAGTGTGTGTTAATGTTAGTCCAGGTTGTTGTGAGAGAGTGAATGTTAGAGAGACATGTAAAAGAAACACCAGTCTTTTAGGGTAATGACAGCCTTTAGCCCTGGTTTAGCCAGGCGGGTGTGTCCACTAGCCCTGCCTGCGGTGCCTCCGTCAGTCAGTTGCGTCATGGAACAGCAGGTCTCACGGCCTTTTGTTTCAACCAAAGTGAGAAATCTGCAGCTCAACTGCTACTAATGACAGTGTGAATAATTGTAATTTTTTACAGTTTACAATATCCAATTCCACCCACCAGCTAAGACTCCCCCGAATTACATTTACATTTACATCATTTAGCAGACGCTCTTATCCAGAGCGACTTACAAAAAGTGCTTTGTCTATCCAGAGAAAGAATCTTCGCTAGCTACCAATAGGTTAGAGAGAAAGCCAGTCTTAAGCTCAGATACTGCTAGAATCAGAAGGTCATAGACACCTAGTGAAAAAGGGACAGAGTTAAACACAGAACAGTGCAATACAATACATAAGTGCTGTACAATACATTACAATCAATACTTAATTTAGTGCTCATTTAAGTGCTGAATAAACAGGTGTGTCTTCAGTCTGCGTTTGAAGACAGCGAGAGACTCTGCTGTACGGACAGCCAGTGGGAGTTCGTTCCATCACCTGGGTGCCAGCACAGAGAACAGTCTAGATGCTTGCCTTCCACACGCCTTGAAGGATGGCGGATCAAGCCGAGCTGTACTCGAAGCTCGAAGGGCTCGAGTACAGCTCGGCTTACACAATACCACCAGCGCTAGGAGGGCAAAAGCTAGCACAGGGACCTGTGAAGCACCACCGCTTTTCAAACTGCCACTAACGCAACGTCATTGGACAGCTGAACACGCTGAGACGAAAAGCGGCCAGTAATGTTATGTCAGCTAACAGACGCCTGCGCTGACTAGCACCACGCTGAGTGATGGAGGGAGAAGTGGGGGGACCATCCTACCGACCCAGAGAGCGAGGCCAATTGTGCTCTCTTGGACTCTCGGCCACGGGTGGCTGTATCATCACCAGGGATCAAACTCATGATCTCCACCACTCGGAAGCCCCTTGATTGTAATATTTAGTTTTGTTATGTCAGCTAACAGGCGCCTGCACTGACTCGCATCACGCTGAAGAGATGTAGTGCGAGTGAACTGGACGCATGTATGAGGCAAATGACTTTCAGACAGAAATTCGGATGTGAAACAACAACATTCAGCACCTTTCTGCCGAGCCAGAGAAGCTGCTGCGTGTTTACATGTACAGACCACAGATTTATTTTTATATCATTCAGTTCTGTTTTTAGCTATTTTGCATAATAAAAATGTTTAACATGTACTTCAGTTGTTCAATATGATTCTTATTACTAATTATATTTGTTTTTAGTATCTGTCAGATGGGAAAGATGGAATCGGTGCATCCTTACCGTGTACGAGCATATATGCCTGACCACACCACTGACTAGAATAAATTGTATAAATGGGAATGGTTAAGTAAAGGCAAGGCGATAAAACAAATCATGTGACAGTGAAATGTACATAATATTGGTATATATAATCTTGATATTCGATAATATCACTGACCGGCCCAAGGCTGCCGTAAAGCTTTTGTTATAGCTTTTGTATTGAGATGGGCTTTTTTATCCACTTTATCTCCTTATGGTGTCCTGGGCAGTGATGGTGCTGTATGTTTTGGCAGGGCTGCTGAAGCAGAAGCAGAGAGAACAAGAGGACTGTAGAGTTCTGGACGGCTGGACTCGAGCTGTAGCGCAGTATAGCACTGCCCCGTGCTCACACACCCTCCCCTTCATCTGCAAAACCAGCAAAGGTGTGTGTATGAGTGGCTGCGTACATTTGTGTTGCGAGTGAGTTGTCTGTGTGATGTGAGAAAGACTAACAGTGCTGTTTGTACTGCAGAGCGCTATGTGAAGCAGAAGGAGCTGGAGGAATCTCAGAGCGCCCACCCGAGCCCCTTCCTGCAGCACCTCATGAAGCATGGAGTGGTATTCACACCACATATTCTCTCTTACACACAGTTCACAAGCAGCTAGATCTTCTCTACACATGTAGCTTTATAGGCTTCACTGTATTACATTTGCTCTGGAAGGATTAATTACACAAGGTGAAAGGAATGGCAACATTTCAAAATAAGGGCACATTATAATGCCTTTAAAGTGCACTTATTAAACCTGAACAAACCAGTTGTAGCTCATTAACTGGCTGCTTATTACTACATTATTAAGCAGTAACTAGGACACATTACGCATCTTCCAGCACTTCTAATGCTGTTATTGAGCCTTACCAAGCCAGTAGTTGGTAATTAACCATCAGAACTGATTGATAGGCTAACATTATTTATGAATTGATTAGGTACTAGGTATAATAACAGGCCCCTATATATAGCAACTTATTCATCATCTAATAGTTTGTTAATAATAATTATTAATTATATAGTTGCATTAATAAATGCTGCCATATAAGTTACAAATCATTTACTTAGTGAAGCAAAAATGATTGAAGCACTGTAAAAACATTTTATGAATGTGTCATATTGAGTGTAACAAGTAACACAGTGCATTATAAATGTCTACATACGAGTGGTAACTTTATAATAATTATATTAAATATAATTAACTTATGAATATTAATGTTTAAATACACTGATTGACTAAGCATTAAGGAAAGGATTTTTATGCATAGACCCAGATCATCAAGGTACAGGCCCCTGGGCACAAATGGCACCATGATGGCAGTAAACTAACTATGTTGGGCACATCAAAGAAAAAAAAAGCAAAGCTTGACTGAGGTAATGGCGGATAGTGGAACGGTTACGAATCAGTGATTGGAGGACAAAACAAAGTGGACATGTAGGAATGATGTTGAGAGCAGAAACATTATGATCAGGTTGAAATGAGTTAATTAATTAGTTAATTAAGCTGTTCTGCTAGTAAATTCCCCACTGCAAGTCAAAACAGCTGTTGAAATTTGGCATAATTGTTTGTGCCCATGAAACCCACAGGATGATCCAGGAAATTATGCATTGCAGTAGTAAGACTGTCAATAACTACTTCATCATTTAAAACAGGATCTAGACAATTCAGTGACATTTATTCTGGCCTGATTTTATGCATCTTAGTAAAGACTTAATATTTCAAGTTATATGATTTATTAGTTATGACTATAAATTAGCAAAATCATTATTAATGCTTGTCTAAAACATGTAATTAGGCTCACAATCTCACAATAATATTGAATTGTTTACATTTCACTAAGTACATGGTTAATAATTCAAATGATACAATTTATTAATTCATAGGTAAATATAGTGTAATTAATAATACGCATTAATAAAGTATTACATAATTTTTAATTGGCTGTTTATTAGGTCCTGTTATTATAAAGTGTTACCATTTATTCTTATGATATTTATCATGTATAATGCATATTAACCAAACTACAAACACATTTCAAATCTTTATTAATTCTTTGTCACCCTTTTCACCCCTTAATAATGCAGCAGTCAGTTAATTAGCAGTTATTCGCTTGATAAGTGACCAGCTATGGCATAATGACATAATGATGTACACCTAAAATGTTGCCCTGGAAAATGCAAAATTAACCTTAGTTACAGTTCAATAATGTTGTAATAACCATCCACTAGTCAGTTAACTATCAACTTCTGGCTGGTTAAGGCATTACAAGGGTATTATAATGAGCGACTGGCTGCGTAGCTTTGTCTGTTTCTATAACCAACTGTTGCTGTCTTTCTTCATTGTATTGATAACATTCAGTACAGCAGTAGTGAAGCTGCTATCTTTCTCTTATTACAGAACACTGGTGATGTCCTAGGCAGGCCTGATGCAGATGAAAGCTGGGACATCTGTCACTCATTTGCTAAACATCTCTGAGCAGTATCTACGGGGGTCCCAGGGAGCAGCTGGAGAGCAGAGATTTTCCCTCTCTGGTGCAGATGCTCTCTCGAGCTGCTGAGCTGCCCACCACAGGGAACCAGAGCCTCACCACCGCACACAAGCTCAGCCACAGCTTCATCAGCCTTGCAGACTCACTCATCAGCCGGGAGAACGCAGATAAATGGCAGGCCATCAGAGAGGTGCAGAGACATCCGCAGATTAAACACCTGTGCATCTAAACAGCAAACACAGTGACAACAACAAAACTAGAACGCTCCCAGTATAATCACCACAGTGCCTATACAACACAGTGCGAAGCTTTTTGTCAGGCTGATGTTCCAATTCAACAAAAGTTGATGAAAAGAAATCCATGAGTTGGGGAATTGAAGGACGCTGTATGTCCTTTCTTCTAAATTTAATAATAAAAAATATGGTATTACATTATATATAACAGGAATATTGTTAGCTACACTATTTGGCCATGTCATTAATGTTAGGCCGTTAAGGTCAGTTGGTTAATCAAATGACCATTTAATACATATAATCTTATCTGCTATACACGTCTACATGCGTTTACATTGAAGATTCCCATTTTGTGGGTTTTTTCTTTTTTTTTTGTTTATGTTTTGACTTGACACGCATACCTGATATTTAACCTAAAGGCTTTACGGTGCTACATTTGAACACTTGCTTTCTGTTAGAACAAGAGTTTATTGTTATCTTTAGCATAAGAGTTATTATTGTCTTTTCTCATTTTGCTACACTTCTTATTTACATTAGTTAGTTATTTACATATTATTACATATTAGCACCATTATTTACCTAGTTAGTTATGCAGTAAATTACATTTACATTCATTGACAAAAATGTTTTTTTTTTCTGCAACATAAGACTGTAAACACAACAATAACTTTGCAGCAAATTTAAATCATAATAAAATATCTCCAATTAATTCATTCCACATTATTTCTCCACTTGTTTTGAGCTTCAGGTGAGAAACAAAATGTAAGAAGAGGCATTGCAATGCGTAACTTAATGTACAGAGCCCCGGAGGGGAAGGAGGTCAAAATAAAAATTAATCTGAGTGAACGTTTTGCAGTTCGTACACACGTTTTCTTTTATTCATGGTCACGAGTTCTTAATCTGCTCCCACGATTAACAATGCTTTCTCTCTTATTTTTTTTATCACGCGCACATCTTTTTTTACTTCATAGATATGGTTTTCTATTTGTGATCATGATTTCTTAATTAATTCTCTCGTGCTCTTGTAATCGTGATCATGAAGAGGAGCTACAGTGACCTCATAATGTCCCCAAATCACAATCAGACCTGATGAGCATCTCTGTGCATTATCTCATCAATCTAGCACATAAAAACCTGTCAGACAGTGTCAGGGAGCTGTGAGTTACTTCTGCACAGGACAAATAAAACAGCCTGAATCTACTACATTTATTTTATTTGCGATGGATAAAAAAGACAAACAACGTGCGTCCAATCAAAAAGAAAACATGAGCATGATTAAACAGAAACGAGTGAATGAATTGTTAATCATGATCACGAATAGAAGAAAATGTGCGAAAAACTGCAAAACGTTCACTCTAATTAATTTTTATTTTTACCTCCGTCCCCTCGGGGATCCGTATTTATTGGAGATATAGAGTTTATTTACTTTATTTAAGTATGACATATTACCTGTGTACAGGTAAACACAACAGTAAGTAATTTTTACTCTGGGCAAGTTTTCCGACCCTTAACATTCTGTAAATGTTTCATGTGTAAAGAGTATTTGAGTCAGTAGTTAACAGCAGGTGAATCCTTCTATCAGTGTAAGTTTGTGATCCCTGAATATATACATAGAATTATGTTTTTGTTGTGCTGTGTTCCAGGTTGTGAGTGGACCAATGGCTGTGGTGCAGACTATTGACCGCATGGTGACGAACCTCAGCCCCCTGCTCCTGGGGGACACGGACAGTGTGCAGATACACTTCAACAATATCAGTGAGTCTCGCTCAGCATAATGTAAGAAACAGAAACTTTAACTATGTTCAAATACGTTAACAATCTAAAATGCTAAAGTTTGCTTTTCAAAATTTCTGCTGAAATATGAGATGTTCATACAATGTAATGGGTGGCTGGCCTGAAAGCAACGACTCTATGTTATTTTTTTAGAGGGATTTAGTTTGCATTTATTGTGGCTGTCAGTTTATGAGGCTGAATTCTGTATAAAGCTTTAAATACTGTCAAATTCAGGATTGCAGGTCCAGCAGAAGACAGTGTCAGAGAGTACTGGAGGCTCTGAATTTTGCAGTTCAGATTGGACCAATAACACTGACCTGGACTGCATTTCTGTCCCACCTAAAAGCATGCAGGAGCTCCATAACAATGGTATGTGAAAGGTTTGTTTCTCTTTCTCTCTGGATTGGCTAGATGCTGCTTTAGAAGCAAAGCCTCTGCTGGAGAAAACAGTGTCACGTCGTGCTGCACTGTGTTCACAGTGTTCCACTCTATATGTTTGTCTGTGTTTAGGCTTCGGGAAAGTGACCGTGTTGAGTACGTGGTACAGCTCTTTAAAACCCCTGATGAACAAAGAGAAGAACATCACAGTCGTCCCCACCATCACTGACGGCTCTTTGAAGTAAGCCTTGGCTCTGAAAGCACTAGAGCAAATAAGCAAAGCAAATTACAGCACTTGAAACCTCAAAATTCCAAAAAAAGTTGGGACATTATGTGAAATGTAAATAAAAACAGAAAGCAGTGATTTGTAAATACTCTTTGACTTGTATGTAAATGGGACACAGACAATAATAATAACAGTATAATAACATAATAATAATGATCATTTTTATTTATAGAGCACTTTTCATATCAGTGACAGCCCAAAGTGCTTTACAGACAGGTGATAATGTTTTACAATAATAGACAAGACAGTGACAGATGAAGTTAAGAAGAAATACCAAAGACACATAAAATTTCAACTGAAAGCCAAGTTAAAGAGATACGTTTTCAAATGTTTCTTAAAAGTATGCACTGTTCTTGGCTGTCTAATAAAAGGTGAATTGAGTTCCACAGTTTAGAAGCATAATAACTGAAAGAGTCTCTCCACATTTTATGTATTTTAAAAAGGTGTTTGCACAAGGTCAGTATCTGCAGATCTGAGATCGTTTGCTGGAACACAAACAGACAGATATTATGTGAGGTATGCAGGTGCTTTAAGGTCATTTAGAGTCTTAAAAACTAGTAGCAGAACTTTAAAATCTATCCTGAAAGATAAGGGCATCCAGTGCAGTGCTTTCAAAATGGGGATGTATGAGCTCTCTTTTTTGTTTTTGTTAGAATCTGTGTTGGTGCATATGAGTTGTAAAGGACGGATTGCATTCTGAGGGAGCATTGTAAAAAGAGCATTACAGTAGTCAATTCTGCTTGTAACAAATGCATGAACAAGCTTCTCTGCGTTGCTCACCAATAGAAAAGGCTAAACTTTAGCAATATTTCTCAAATGATAAAAAGCTACTTTAGTGACTGCGGTTAAAACAGAGCTCAGAATCTAAGATTACACTCAGGTTTTGTACATCAGTTTTGGATCTAAAGAACTGAGCTTCTTATAAAGCATTTTTCTTTGAGTTTTAGTACCAAGTATCAGTATTTAAGTTTTTTTGCTATTAAGTTGTAAGAAATTTTGTGATGTCCACTGACAAATATCTGACACACAGCTGGTAAGCCTGTCTACAGAGTCTCGATCATCAGAAGGAATTGAAATGTGTAATTGCGTGTCATCAGCATAGCAGTGAAAATTTTATAATGTTTCATAATAATGTTTCATAATAACATCACCTAGAGGTAACACGTACAATCAGAAGGGCCTTAAAACTGAACCCTGTGGCACTCCACAAAAAAAAAATGCAATAATAATTTTCCAGTAAAACCAAGAATTGTCTATGCATTAAATATGACTTAAACTGTTCTAAAACTGTACCTGAGGGGCCTACGTAGTGTTCAAGTCAGTGTATTAGAATCTTGTAATCAACAGTATCGAAAGATCCAATAAGACCAAATTTGAAAGATTTTTTGCATCAGCGCTGAGCCAGTGCTGTCTCAGTACTGTGGTTAGAATGAAAATCTGTTTGAAACTTCTTATATAACTTGTTTGATATTAGATACACATTTAAATGTTTTAAGGTACCTTTTTCTAAGACTTTACCTAAAAAAAGAAGATTAGAAATTGGTCTAAAAGTTTTTAATACAAAAGGACCCATGTATCTGTTTCAGCAGAGGCTTCACCAGGGCAGTTTTAAAGCATTTGGAAAAGCTCCTGTTGACAGATAACAGTTTACAATAGTAAACAACAGTTAAGACATCATTTTGAACACAATCGCAACAAGATATCTAAGATTTTACCAACTTATTATTTTTTTTTTGGAATTAATCACTCATTCTGAAACTGTTGTCTGCAGCACATTCCAAAAAACTTGGGACAGAGTTAGATTAAGACTAGGAACATTGCGAAATGTTAAAAAAACATCTTAAATCATGATGCAGTCATGCTTGGGAATAAAAGGAGCATGGAAAGTTCAAGCCCTTTAACAGCAATGATGGGTCCAGGCTCACCACTTTGCCAAAAATATATCAGCAGCTAATCCATCAGTTTAAGTTCAGTGTTCCTCAACAAGTGACTACATGGATATTAGTTATTTCACCCTCTACAGTGCAGAATATCATCAATAATGTCTCTGGATTGGAGCTCATCTGAAATGGACAGATGCAGAGTGGAAACATTGTATTTATAAAAATAATGGACATTATGTTCTCTGGACCAAAGAAGCTAAAAACATCCAGATTGTTACCGGCGTAAAGTTCACAAGCCAGTATCCATCATGGTATAGGGGTCTATTAGTGCCCATAACATGAGTAACTACACATTTTGGAGCAACATACCGCCGCAAATCTCCATTTTTGTCCATTTTTATTTTTCAACATTATTCAAGCATGGTGGCTGTCCTTTACATTGTGTGGAAATTTTATGACAAATGGACCAATAGGAAAGCCCCACAATAACTTGGAATAAAACTTCTTTACATTAACTTATATCAGAAAATGTTTGCCTTCTCCTCTAAAGTTGCTACTTTGGGGATGCGTTTTTCTTTGGACAGCAGCAATATGCCGCTGTCTTTTTCAAGGATGTCCATGCTTATTTCAGCAAGACAAGGGCAAGCTACATTCTGCATGAGCTACACAATATATAAGAGTGCAGGTGCTACACTGGCCTTCCTGCCTCCCATTGAAAACACATTATACAGGGTGATTCAAAAAGATTCATCTGATTTCAAAATGATTTATTTCACATTTTAAATCATTACAGAACAATGCAGTAAATTGTAAATGGTTTAAATGAGCATAACGTTTAATATGTAATTTTACAAGTGCTCAATATGAACCTCCTCCAGCTGTACAGACAACATCAACGCCATAGTCAAATTCATCCCACACTCGATTGAGCATGTTGGGTGTCTCTGTACTCACGGCTCTTTCAGTGTGATTTCGGAGATCATCCAGTGTTGTAGAACCAACAACGAACGCTCTGAGCTGCTGGAGGTTCACTGCCCATGAAAATCACGTTGCACTGCTATGACGGATTCATTCTTATTGAAGTGGAGAACGCAAAACGCTTTCTGCTCAGGGGTCTCCGTCTCCTCGCAGACTGAAGGGAGCCATCTTCCAGTGACAGTCACGAACTCTGTGACCCCCTCTTTCAATTGGTGTGTGATTGGTTCCTAGACACCTCACGGTTGTGAAAATATGGTGAACACTTAACAGAAGAATAGCAAAAAAAAACCCTTTCAAAACTGGATCAATGTGTGTCTTCTGTCCCCAGTACTTTATTAAGTAATTATGATGTAACACAGTGGAAAACATGCTACTGTCCCAACTTTTTTGAACATCAAATTTGGAATGAAGGTATATTTAAAAAAAAACTATCATGTTAAATTTAAAAAAGTTTAAAAACCTTTTTTAAAAAATTGAAAAAAAAAGTTTTTAAAAAGGTTAAAAGTGTAATATTGTGTTTTTGTACTGTTTCTGTACAACACGGGTCAAACAGAATTCACTTTCTGTTTTTATTAGCGTTTCACATACTGTCCCAATTTTTTTGGAACTGAGGTTTGTAGCTTTGGTCTACTCTTTTTCTTTAACTTCCTCTTAAATGTGTCAGGTATATGGGGACAGTCCTGGGCTCGTCGGTCATCTCCAGTGCAGTGGTGGGGGACGGACAGCTCATCAGCCTGGGAGTGCAGTTTAAACTTCGACACCGCACTCAGGTAACATTTACTGGGGTTAAAGAGATGTAAAAGGGCTGTGGTGCAAATATACCCCTTTCTGCAAATGTAATCAATCAGCCAAGACATCGGTTGGATGGTGTCTGATGTTTGCTTCCTTAGTTTAACACTGGAGCTATGATGCTAATGTAGCGAACATGTAGTGGGAGTTTAAACACAAAGAATCACTGTACAAACCTCTTGGTAGCTACTTTAGCCACTTGGCTTGAGTGCAAAACCAAAGAAGCATCATATATCAGACACTGAACAAATCTTGGCTGACTCCCCTACTTCAGTACAGCTCTCCCTGTTCTTCTTTAGAATACTTCAGGGATGTTTTATAACCCAATCTGTGCTTTCTGGGACTTCAGCCTCACGTGAGTGTGCTCTTATTGTCATCAATCTCAGTTAACAAACTCCAGCAGTGGTTATTTTGCATTTATTCTAATAGTTCTTTGGCTTGTTTTGTGGCTCCTCAGGCCAGAGGATGGAGGAGGATGGTCCACTGAGGGCTGTGAGGTCATTTCCTTGCAACAAGACTCTACATCCTGTTACTGTAACCACACCACCAACTTTGCCCTGCTCTTACAGATATATGATGTTCAGGTAGGCCTCGTCTCATTATCAGACAAAAAGCAACACAGATCTTGCAATCTTAGCCCCGCAGACAGTCTGAGGTATTAGATTGATTGGCTTTGGAAGATGCTACACAAAATCTAAAGATATATATTTAAATAAGGGATAGATGTTCACTCCCCTAACATTGAGTTTAGTATCGCTTGTTAAAATTAGTGTTATATTATATGCAGTGATATTACAGTGTAGATACAATGTAGATCTAAAGATTAAAAACTGGACACCAATGTATTTTAGATGCTTTATTAAATATTTGAAGGGTGTTAAGTTATTATATACTGTAAATTCAGTTTTGGTGTGCACAAAGCTACAGAACCGAGCTTCTTATAAAGCAATGTTTTCTGATTTTCTTAGTGAAGATAAGTTAACACATCCTCCACAGAGAACCCATTTGTGCTCATTTTAATGCATGATTACTGTTTATATCCTGTTTATATTACATTTGGAATTGGAATCAAAATAAAATGTGTCCTAGGTAGAAGCTGTGGCACATGATATGCAGAAAAATGTTGTTTTTAAGTTTGTTCCCTGTATAGGATGTGTTATCCTATTTTTACTTAGATAATCAATCGCCCAGAGATTTTATCCATTTAGCCACCACTGCGCCCCCACACTAAGTCTTTTGTTCTGTTGCCCCAGTAGTGATGAATGTAATATCATAGAGAGATTATCTTGATGGATAAGATCATTTTTTCATTCCCCTCAGTTGATATTTGCATTTTGATAAAACCTGGGTGCCAAAGCAGTTGTGTATGTTTGGCAGTGGAGCCAGGAGAACGAGAAAGGCCTGCAGATTCTTAGTTTCATCGGCTGTGGAGTGTCTCTCTGTGGACTGATCTTTACCTTCATCCTCTTCATCGCCGTTGGGTAGGTACTGAGTATGATTACATTCGGCTTTAGATCCACTTGAAGGAAGGCATTTTCCTTCGGATATAGGTAAAAACAATAAAATACTGTATATGTGAGCAGTTACTGTGTATGTACAGCTGTATGCATCCTCTACAGGGTGGCTAAATATGTCATTTTTGGCAAATTCTAGAAGGAAAATTGAAAAAATAGAAAGAAAATAAACAAAATGTGCCATAACATCTGCACAGGCCACAAACTGTGTTTAATTTTTCACCCCAACATATTTATATATATATATATATATATATATATATATATATATATATATATTTATATGAAAATTCAGTAGTTCTACATTAACATTTGCATAAGTGTGTCTACTGTAGTTATTTTCACTTTATACACCATTTTACCAGGGGTGTCTAAACTTTTGCATACGACTGTACATACATATAACCTGTACAACTTTGTACATTCACCTCACAGCATGTGCATCCCTCTACCACAGCACCTCAAATCTTGTCTTACATCGACTTATTTGATCATCACCTGATATGTGAATAGATGAGTAAATGATGGGTAAATTATGAAACTTGAACAGTGAGGCTGTTAAGCAGAATCCTAATCCACACTTAATGCATTACAGCCCAGCAGCGCAGACCAATTCCTTTATTTTCTGCTCTCTGTCTCCCTCTAGTGTCCCAAAGTCAGACCGCACCACGGTGCATAAGAATCTAATAGTTGCTTTGGCTCTAGCTCAGCTGCTGCTGATCTTCAGTTACTGGGCCTCGGCTAACCAGGTACAGTGCTTCATTCAGTCATGCGTGTTGTCGCTGTCATATCAAAATAAAAAAATGATGTCATGTTTTGTTGTGGTGCTGAACGATTTGGTGAAATTTTCTAATTGTGATTTTTCTAAAAAAACATTGAAATTGTGATTATTTTCTATAAATTGAGGTTTGGGTCTGTTTTTTTGCCTGCAAATGCTGTATGTAGTGTGCCAGATGGCCAGCTGGTTGGGGTTGTATTGCTCTCTTCCCCCAGGCCATCAGAACTCTTAACTGCAAACACTGACTGACTCTTTGTCCCTATTTATACTGTATATATTTCGTATTTTTTTGATAGCACTGCTACACAGTGTAGCACAGTCTAGCAAGTAAATTACATATATCCCATCTCATGTTTGTGGACCATACCAAATTAGTTCAAACTGCAATCCCACAGTAAAAGAAACAAAAAAAAATCCAGTTAAGACTTTAGATATTTACAGGGATTATGTTACGATCTATTCAAACTCAAGGCTTTAACTAAGATAGTAATACGCTAAATCAATTCAAAATCATCATTTTATCATCTATCCCAAACCCCAACCCCTAAATTTCAACTTCCAACTCAAGAAATGCTGTCCTACATTTTCATGTCAGTACTGAAAAACAGAATTTTAGTCCATAGGCGGAGCCTTATTTTAGCCACACCCCTGTAATTTAGAGCAGGAAATGTGGCTACATCCCTGCCCCTCATGGCCAAATGGTGAGCAGTTAGATGTCATTGTTTTGAACTAAATGTGTCCCAAAGTCTGAAAGTCAGTGTGAAACATTAAGAATTGTCACTGCCGAAACCCATATTTGCAGGAATTAAGTAAACATTTTTGGGTTTTAATGAAATATATTATGATTTTATGTGTGTACAACAGTTCAAAGCTGTGTTTGCTAGTCAGGTACAGGATTATTAAGATTGAAATGAAACTAACAGAAGGTTACTGACTGTAATAAAAATGAAAACTAGTTTTCAAAAACATGAAAACTAAATCGCAACTATAATGTCCACTGCAAAACTGTCTAAAATGAAAGAGAATTACTGAGAAAAAAAACTTTTAGAAAAAACGTTTTTTAAATGGATTTAGTTCAGCAGTTTTTTCAGGAAAGCTGGATCTGAGGTCAGTCTACTGTTGTGTTAATTTTATTCTTTTATCAAATACCTGCTATCACAATGCTCATCATACACTCAAAATCCATTGAAATTATATTTTCTAAGTTGTGTTGACTCCACACACCCCGTCTCGTCTCCAGGCTTTTTATTTTATTGTTCTGTTTTAAAACATTTGGTTGTGAAAAGGTACAAATATGTACTTTTCCACTGGGAAAAACCTATTTAAGGTTCACAATCGGACCTTAAATCCACTGTTGTACCTTTGAGGGAACATTTACATTGTTTGTACCTTGATGAACAAAAAATGGACCTGAACAGAACCTTTATTTCTAACAGTGTAATACTAAAAAGTAAAACTGAAACTGAAACTAAATAAAATCCAAACTAACATTATTACACTTTTATAACTGAAACTAAACAGAAATCAGAAACAAAAAAGGAAAAATAAATAAAAATAGAAACTAATTAAAATTTCAAAACTATAACAAACCTGATCACATACTGGTTAGCGTTTTTCAGTTATGCTCAAAATGAGCTAAAATTGTCATTACTGAAACAGTCAGTACTATTTTATATTTATTTTATACATTGTATGAACTTTTCATGATGAAATGACACAGAACTACTCTTTACAAAAGTAAAGTTAATAACTTTAAGTACTTTTTTTTTGCTTGTAAAGGGAGCTGAGGGGTTTGTTATGACAGTGATGATGCACACTGATGTCTGAGTAAAGGTGCGCTGGTGTGTGTTGTGTAGGAGCTGTGTTTGCTGGTGACGGCTCTCCTCCACCTCTTCTTCTTGTCCTCTTTCTGCTGGATGCTGGTGGAGGGGCTGCTGCTCTGGAGTAAAGTAGTCTCCGTCAACATCAGCGAGGACCGGAGGATGAGATTCTACTACGCTCTAGGCTGGGGTAATGTGTGTGTATTCACTATAGGCTATGCAGTCATATCGTCGCTGTCCAAAGAAAAACAAGTATCTCCAAAATAGTAAATTTAGAGGAGAGGACAAGTCAATGTAAAGAGGTTTTATTCCAAGTGATCTTAGAGCATTTCTATTGGTCCATTCATCATGAATTTTTCACACAACGTAAAGGAGAGCTGGTGCATTGAAATGATGTAGAAGAATAAAATCAACAAAAATGGAGATATGCAGTTTTCTTTGGACAGCACTACCCTCTGTCAAATTACATGCTCTGTTGATTTTGTAAGTGCAAATAGGTTAACACTCTTCAACAGTGAACACACTTCTATATGGCATTTTTCTGTACCCAATTTCGATTAATTAGCTCAATTTTACACATTATATACAATTTTACATATAATGTATTAAATGTGCTATAATTTTGCACAAACCACATTTTATGTTTTTTTCTCAATATGTTCAATTCAGCACATAAACAACAATCATGCATTAAAATGTGTAGAAATGTGTCTCTGTACAGGATGTGTTCACTGACTTTCACTTAGAAAATCAATAAAGCATGTCATTTGACCAGGGGCGCCGGCACTTTGCATACTGGTGTTCAAATCTTCCGGTAGATTACTTGACAGAAACTTTGTAAATAGATCATCACAGAGCTGAATTTACAGTATATAATAACTCAGCATCTTTCAAATATTGCATAAAGCATGTAAAATCCATTGGTGTCCAGTTTATAATTTTCAGATCTACATTGTACTACACAACAATCTCCACTGTATTATTACTGTATAAAAAACACGTCATTTTTAATGTAACAAGTGATATTAAACTTTTGTACAGCAGCAAATATCTATGCATTATTTAAATATATACTTTGATTCTGTGTAATGTCATGTTTTCCAGGGTTTAACATTTTAGAATGAAAATAAATTATAATATAAAATGTTCCGTAACTTGTGCACAGGCCATATTTTGTTTTTTTTTTCCAAAATGTTAAATTAAAATGTGCAGATGTGTGTAGAGGTGTGTTAAGTTTCACTTCAATTAACAAAGCGTGTCATTTGATCAGGGGTGCGCAAACTTTTTACATATGCCTGTATGTGTGTGTGCATGTACCACGCTTCACTGTTCGGTTTTGTAATGTTGAAAAACACTAAAACACTGGACTTCTGTGTGGGAATAGTGAATAATGAGTGTGTTTGTTCTGTCTCTCTGTCGCAGGCTTGCCTCTTTTCATTGTTGCTGTAACCTTGACGGTCTCTCTGAACAAGTACAAGGCAGAGCAGCACTGCTGGCTGAACACGGAGTCTGATATTATTTGGGCTTTTGTGGGGCCGGTTCTGTTCGTGCTGGCGGTAAGTGTGATATGACTGTGTGTTTATGTGCTGAGGTTGAGACATGCTGTGCGTGTTTTGGGGTTCATGTCTGCTCGAACTGTCTGTTCTCAGGTCAACACTGTGGTGTTGTGTCGTGTCGTCATGGTGACCGTGTCTAGCGCGCGTCGTCGGGCGAAAATGCTGGCGCCCAGCTCGGCTTCCAAACCCCACACTCTGGACCTGACCTGGTGAGGGTCAAACTCTCTCGTTCACCATCTGACTCAGGGCTTAAATTGGAATGTGAAAGGTGGTGGAACTCCTTATTTAGCTGAAGTTTAGGGAGCTGCTATAGCTAGTTGGACTAGACTGCAGAGATTACACCCAGCTAATTGCCAGGTTACAATGACAGGGTCATTGCTAAGGCTGAAAGGCTAATCGTTTTTACATCGAAATCGCAATTTAGCAGTGCAATTTTTAAATCGCAAGACCTGCAATTTTTTTATTAAAGCCTGTGTCATCAAAAGTGTTGTCTTAAGTTTTAAATGGGGAATTTTGACCTAATAACACAGAGCTTGTGAACTGCCTGTAGATAAATTAGACAAATTAGAGCCAACCAAACCTCCATGTGTTGTTACATTACAACCACAACTTGATGCGCACTACATTCAGGGTTCAGAACTTCACACCTTAGAGATAATAATCACAGTTTAAATTGCAGTCGCAATATTAGAAAAATTGCAATTAGATATTTCACCAAATCCTTCAGCACCGGTCATTTCTATGTTCCCATGGCTGTTTTTTTCACTCCATGACCATTTATGAAATAGTTACCAGGGCCTAATGTTCCCCTAACTTTGTGTTCCCTCTTTGCAATCTTGGATTTTGGAAACATCTCTATATAACACCCCCAGTCAAAATGAAAATGAGTGAACACACATTCTACAGACAGCACACTTACATACGGCATTTTTCATCAAATTTTAGAGCGCAATTTTTATATTTTGCTAGGTTTAACATACTGGGAAAATAAATAAATATAAATAATAATTAAAAATGCAGAGGTGCATTCTCTACAGAGGATAATTAACTCATTCTCACTTGTAAGAAATGAGAAACAGTCGTTTGACCAGGGGCAGTCAGACTGTTACGTACGACTGTGTACAGCTTTGTTCCCTGATTAAACTTTTCTCGGAAACAGTTCAGCACCATGTTTCCTCAATCACAGTTCCTCAGCATGACAACAGGACTAACGTCGATACCTCTGGTAAACTTACAAATGTACATAATCAGATTTTGGATGTTTAGCAATAAGTGAAACTGTGTTACAAACTGCTTCTAAATTGATTATCTTACTGGCTGTTTACATGCAAAGATTTTTGCCAGTCGAATTAATACATTCTCATTATAGATTAAGACGGAGGTGTTTTTATGCTCACTCTACAACAATCTGATGGAAAATCCTCGTTTACATGTACACTACAAGTAATCACACGCACGTTTGTAGAGAACCACTTTGTGTAGACGTTACTATGACAACAAGCTTCACGTGAGTCCAGTCAGAGTGAGGCGAGGAGCAGTTTTCATCTGGTGCACTCGTGTCAGGTAAACGTCCTTCACATGTCCTTATTAAAGAAGGCCGAGAGGAAGACGTCGTGTTCTGAGACACTAAGCTGGACGTCCGTCCCACCGTTGTCTTTTAAAGATCAGAGCATAAACTTCGTCTCCTCTGCAGACCAGTTTCTGCTCCCTGCCAACTTGAGGGTTATAAACGTTTCGCTACGGTGCGACACACATGATCAGAACAGGCTTAAACGTTCTGATTTGAAATGTAATCAGATACAGGCGTTTGACGGTTATTATTCTTCTATTTAACGGATTATTTACAGGATTACTCACCTCGTTCAATCGGATAGAAGTTGTGTTCTGAATGGCCTCAATCAGACTAGACTTTTCTGACTGAGGTGTATACATGGACGTGTTCTATTCTGATTGAGCTATTAATCGTGTTATTGACGGATTATTAGGCTGCATGTAAATGTGGCTAGTGATGCCCCCTCTGGTTCAGTAGACTGCCAGGCAGGATTCGAATGTTTTGGTTTCTCATGATGTTCAGAATATTAACAACATTGCAAAACATTACTAGCCCAGGACTAGCCTGGCCCTTAGTAGCCATAGTATACCGTACTGTGCTTTAAAACAGATCAAAAACGTGTTAGTTAGCTGCCACAGTGGTGTTTTGAGGTATGGCCTTTCCTGGCATCTTAACGCTAAGCATGACCTTAGTAACCCTTTCATAATGTTGAGGTGTGATGAATCATATAAAACTTGAAGGAAAACAGAGCCTTAAGAACGCAGGATCCTGTCATTGGGCCCCGATGACAGCTGTGAGAGCCGGCCCGAAGGCGGCGCCCGAATCCTGAACACCACTGATGGACACAAGTGACAGCGGTAGGAGGATGTCGGCCGCCAGAGAGAGGATGATGACAACAACGGCCACGAGAGGCACGAAGGCAGGGACATGAGTCCCGAACTCTGCCACCTAGAACTCTTGTTCTGTATTAAGGCCGCTAGACACTTTACGTTTCGAGGCAGGCGGCCAAAATGCAGAGCGGGGGCAGTGACGGGAAGGCTCATGTCCCGCCTCCATGCCTCTGATGCCCGTCATTACTGTCGTCGGCGTCCCCTCTCTGGCGGCTGATGTCCTCCTCCCACCATCACTCACGTCCCTCAGCGGTGTTCAGGATTTGGGCCCTGCCTCTCGTTGCTGTCATCGGGGCCTGGGGGACGGTACTTGGCACACCTGGGAACGTAGGTATGCTTGAAAGGCTAACTATATATTTATGTGTAATCTGATAAACAGATTTGGACATCATGAGTTGAAGGTAAGATTCAACATATGGTCTACATAGCTGGCTTAGCTAGGTAGGTAGTTAGCTTTAACTAGCTGACGACTATGTAGCCCACAGTTTTTCTAAGCTGATGTGGTAGAGAAATGTGAAGATGTCCACTCCCAACATGTTGGGTTTTGTGACAAACAAAACAAACGTATTTCTTGCTTTTGAAAGTCTAAGTGTGTTTGATCTCACACTGGGCTGACGAAGGGTGGTCCGTGGGTGTTTTATCCACACAATGTTCTCACCTTTTTTACCCCTTACCTGTTTGTATCCATGCTTATTACATCTTTTCAGGTCAGAATGAAATCATCCCTCATTGTATTTCTATTCTTGCATGCAAAAGAATGACAGAGGTGGGTCGAACATTGCTTAGGGCCCCCAAGCATTCAGAAATGACCCTGAATGTAACTGAGTGAAAAGTAAATGTACTTGAATATAATTGAAAGTATTATGATCTGAGAAGCACCAATCCATCAAGATTTTGCATCCCATAAGTACAAAGTAAGTGAATAAATGCAGCTACCTACTTTCCGTCTCTGCAAATAGCGCAGACAATCAAACCTTCCATTCTCCTTCACGCCTCCAACATGAGTGTACGCCATCTTCCTCTCTGCTTATTCTTCACTTCTGATCTTCTCATAATTGCTACATTTATTGGCACACCACTCAAGACTGAGATATCGTTGATGTTAACACTTCTCTTTCATCAGTCAAATCAGGAACTTTTTGACGTTGGAGACTGTAGATGTTTATTTGAACGAACAGTTACACCATCATTTTACATTTACATTGAAATCTGAAATGTCGGTGCTTTTTGAAGAAAGCTATATTTTTCATTTTCATTGCTGTCCATATTGTCCGTATTCCATCACGTTGTCGGAGCTTTGCTGTGACACGCACATTGTTTCCACCTCCCTGCATAATGGTTGATTCCCATAAGCGCTGTAGGCACCCTTCCACAATCAAATGGAAAGAATAGCTTGAAAAGCATATGCAACATACAGCCAAACGACAGCCTGTGGCCTTGAACATACCACTGGAGTTGATCGTGGGGCTCAGGAGGCTCCAGCTGCTGTGAACAGCCAGTTTAGGCCTGAACAGATTGACTTTTGTTATTTTCTGCGATGTGCTGCAAAAAAATAGAGAAAACTCTAAAACTGTCAGAGCAGTAAGTGTGATTTGCCTGTGAAAACACAGGCAAAGATTCCGAGAATAGTTACACATAAAACAAAGCTATTATAAAAATAATAATAATTCCATTAAAAGCACATCTGATTTAACGAAGGCTTAATTAGGTAAACTAGGCATTGGATGGTGACTGTAAATACTGAATGTCCTCGAGGAGAGCTTTGGAAATGGTCAAGCTCTGTTTTTGTGTTGTAAACATCTAATGCCCAGATAAATAACTGTAAATATGATTTTTTAAGTGGTCTGAGAATTTTTGTGTGTGTGTGTGTGTGTGTGTTTCTGTGTGTGTGTGTGTGTGTGTGTGTGTGTGTTTTCAGGGCAGCAACGCGGCCTGTGTTGATCTTGTTACCTGTCCTGGGCCTCACCTGGCTGTGTGGAATTCTGGTGCATCTCTCTGTGGTTTTGGCCTACCTGTTCATTGCACTCAATGCCTTTCAGGTAACCATCACACATATTGGCTACATTCCAGTAGTTAGGCAGTGGTGCAGGTGGGCTGCATTTCTAGACCACTACATCATCAAAGGCTGTTAAAATCAGATGAACCCTTCAAAAAAGCAGCGAAATGCAGCCTACATTCAGACAATTTTCGAGCACACTACCGGAGTACCCTTCATGTTCTACTGTCGTCCATTACCCTTTGTGCATTGACTTTGCGACTTAAACAGGCATACAGTAATGAGCATCAGCAACCCAGTATGAATCTGCAGTGTGTGTAGTTTTACAGTCTGACGGTAATAATTGTGGAGTGATTTTAATCCAGTATGAATCTGCAGTGTGTGTAGTTTTACAGTCTGACGGTAATAATTGTGGAGTGATTTTAATCCAGTATGAATCTGCAGTGTGTGTAGTTTTACAGTCTGACAGTAATAGTTGTGGAGTGATTTTAATCCAGTATGAATCAGCAGTGTGTGTAGTTTTACAGTCTGACAGTAATAATTGTGGAGTGATTTTAATCCGGTATGAATCTGCAGTGTGTGTAGGTTTTACAGTCTGACAGTAATAATTGTGGAGTTATTATTTTCTTTTTATAAAAGCAGTGCTTGCTTCCTTTGGATAAGCCTATAGAATATACTGTGTCTTTATGTACTCAGAGAGAGGAAAAGATCAGCAGGACCTTTGAGGATGACCCCAACTAGATTTGCTCATTAGTGCCCTGATAAAAGTCATAACTCAAATAAAATGTTGCTTAAAACTAACTCTCTCTTTTTGATCCTTTCCTCCTTCTTTTTCATCCTCATCTCTCTCCCTTCCTCCTCAACCCTTCCTCCTCAATCTCTCTTTTTACTTTTCTCTCTTTCAGTCTCACACTCTCTACTCTCTTCTCTCTCTCTCTCTCTCTCTCTCTCTCTCTCTCTCACTCCCTCTCTCTCTCTTTCACGCAGCGAGTCTGGCCGTTGATTGACCCCGCGCAGGGCTTGTTAATTTAGATTTATGGTGTGTGTGCTGAGGGGAGAGATAGAGAGAGGGGCGAGAGATATAGAGGGAGTGGGAGGCTCATGAGTCGGTTCCGCATTTGGAAGGAAGCCACGCTGATATAATTAGCCGCCACTAATCTATCACTGATGCAGCATGTAGTGACGGCTGCTCTGGGGGCGGCGAAGATGGGTTTGGATCTGTGAAGAAAGAAGAATCTGTTTCAGCCTCTTCAAAAAAAGGAAACGTGTGTGTGAAAGTGTTGTGGCTGGAGTGATTCCACTCTGAGAAACTGTTTTTTTTTACATTTTTAAGCTGCACACAACTGTTGGGCCAGTGCAGTTTAAAATGCGTCATTATTTACATTTGTCACTAATTAAATGCCATTCAATTTTTTGCTTTTGCTTATTTATTAAATGTATTATTTATTATAAATTTTACGTCATAATGTGCATTAACTGTTGTTTTCTCTCTACAGGGCTTGTACATATTTCTGGTGTATGCTGTTTACAACAGTGAGGTATGCAATAACAGTAACAGTAACTACTGCTAATAGTAATACAACGACTCATTGTGTTCCAGTCGTGTAGACGTTACATTCAGAATGTGCTGCGTCAGGACTAAATGTGCTTTTGACCGACAGGTGCAGAACGCCATAAAGAGGATTCAGGAGAAGAGGAAAGCACTGTCTTTTACTGTGAGGAAAAAATGCACACACTTACATACACTAGAGGTCTGCACAGGTATGAAACTGAAGCCCAAACCCAACCTGTACCTGCTACTTTTAGGGTACAGCAGAACGGTACAGCAGAACGGTACAGCGTGGTACGGTAACAAATCCAAACCCAGAACTGTACCCTGTACTCTGAAGGTGGGCAGAGTTCTCTTTAGTTTGTAGGGTCACATGATTTCTCACTTGAATCTAGTGTTAACAGGAAACACAAACAACAGCAGCAACAATGGAGGAGCTTCAAGTTCTGATTTACCTTTTACTCTGAACAAGGTGTGAAATATAGGGGGTCCTGGGAGGTCCAGGACATCCTAATTAACCTCTTGGGCCCACTGAATGTCTCAGAATCAAAATTCAGGGATCCCTGAAATAAACATATTATGACATTATTATAGACAGTGGTCTACCTGATAGTAGGGCTGTAGCCAGTTGGTTCACCCAGTTGGCTCTTCATAGCCTAGCACCTGTAACTATGCCCAGCATACCTCTGAAACATTTCACAATATGCCATAGCATATTTGTAAACCTGAAAACTTTCCCAGGAGACTGGTGGAAAGAGTGAATTGTTCATAATTTTGCAAAACAAAGACAAAAAAGGAGATGTGTAAGATCTCAATCAGTGTGTTGGAGGCCGCATTACCAAACAATTAAAGAGTGTTTCCAAAAGAAGAATACGTAAACCAAACATTTTGTAGCACTGCTATGGCAGGTGAGTTAGCAGCCAGTCAGCGCTGGAGTAGCAGGTCAAATGGGTCCCTCTGAATTTCAAGGGTATTTAGCACACTGACTCTGCGTTTGCTTTTATGTGAGTCACAGATTTTGGCTATCCACAGATTTTTAATGGTGGTCATCTGACTGCAGTGACATTGCATGATGACTCTGTGATCAGTCAGTGGTTTGTACCATTACTAGCTCCACGTCTACAATCCGGCTGGGTTCGCTTGGTAGCACCATAAGAAAGATAACCGAATTCATCACGGCTCACCTGTCAGTGGAAATGACAACAAAACTCATGATTGTGGATTCAGAACTGCATCGTAGTGCACTGCCCTGTGGAAAAGCAGCATTAGACTCGACCCAACCAGGCCCAAATAACACTGCCAAATTTAGATATGCTATCATATCTCAAAATACTGTCACATATCTTCAAATACTATTGCACTGTACATCACCAGTGTGCATTTGTTCTTACCAGGTCATAATGTTTCCATTTTCAACAGTTCCATTCCCTTTAAATGAATTTACTACGTCACTCATTACAAAAGTCTGATGTTATACATGAAAAATCAACCTGAAACTAAACAGCAGTCAGGCCCCATCAGACTTGGGTTGGGTTAGGTTTGGGCAGTATAATGGCCCAAAGCTAGGTTAGCTGATCAATCTACAGATCCAAACACTACTGAGCAGATCTAAATTCGTCTTCAGCCCCAGTTGCTCGACTTCACTCCCTCAGATTCGCAACATTGTCATCTAAACTTTGGTGTTGTAGTTTTAGCCATAACTGAACTTGTTCTGTGGTTAGCAGAGCCATCATCATGCTAGCTAAGCTAATGCTAACCAGGTGCTCTCTACTAGTAACTAACATTTAACATGTTTAACATTTAGCAATTTAAGGATAGATAGTTTGACATTTGTTGAAGGATGGCTTGAAAATTCTGCACTATGTTCACTTATTTGGTGACCATGTAGGTGACTTTTTGATTAGTTTCTGTTTTAAAATAACGCAGGACAAGACCAAATTCATCATAAACACTTTTACTTTACTTACTAAACCCCCCCGCGCATCCCCCATTAATACTGTATACCAGGGTGATATTTGTAGAGAGCTGGAAGGTATTTAAAAAAGGGGGGGTTACAGTCACAACAAAAAATAGAAGGTGCTGTTTTCCTTCTTTTCACTTTATTGTATTGTCTTGGTCTGATCTTGCAGAATTGCTCTCAGCCAGTCAGCTTTCTGCCATCACAGAAGACCGCCGGTGCATCGTGGGCAGATAGCTTGCCGACCCCTTCGAGCCCAGAGAGCAGTGGCTCCAGCCACATCACGAACTCCACGTCCAGCTCACTCATCTTTAAGAACGGTATGCTTTCTAATCTTATCTGCTAGCTGCCCTGATCTTATAGCTATTAATAAGAGCATAAAGAAGTGTTTCAGATAGTGCTGTCACAGTTAGGAACATGTTAGCACATTCAATTATTAATGCCACTTCTTTAGCCCTGTGTAAGTGTGTTCTCTGTAGAGGATGTGCAGTTTAATTTCACTTAGAAAATCAACAAGATCTGTCATTTTCCCCAAAAATTAAATTAAATTCAAATACTATTCAAAATCCTGAAAACTGGAAGTAACACTGTAGGAAAAGATGTTTATCCATGTAATTCTTTGTGCTGTGAAACTATTTCTGCCGTACTGATGCAGTGAAAAATTGCACCCTATCTATAAAAATAAAGGTGTCAAATGGACTCCCTAAAAAATCTGTCAGTGGATGATTCTTGAGAGCAGTGGTACTCAGACTGGTCCAGAGGGAACCCCAGACAGTGCATATTTTGTCATATCTCTATGCTTTGTGAATTGGGGTTGAGCAAAACTGTGGACCATGACATGTGCATGAGGAACCTTTTTTAAAGAACCTCCACATAATGTAAAGGTTCTAAGAACCTAGTAAGGTTCTACATTATATATGTATAATGTACATTATATAAGTTTCATCACTGTCATAAATCACCAAAAGTGGTTATTCTTTGGCTTTATACATAAAACCCTGGGCACCTTTATTTTTAATAATGTAATGTATTTTTAAATATGTGTCAGGGGTTTGCACTATAGAAATATAATACAGTATAATAAGGGCTCAGTTTGAGCCCTTATGAGAGTCAAAAAACACATTGCATACACGCACTTAAAGAAGATTTAGTTTTCCATGCGCTTTCACTTTTCATTAATTTTGCTGTGGAGTGAATAAACCAAATAAAGCTATTTCGGAAATGGGTTTGCAAAAGGGCAGCACTACCAGCTGCATCTCCAGAATGAGAAATGCAGCAGGGTTGAAAAGTAATCTCTGTGCTTCTGTCTCTCCTTCGCCTCACCTTTATCTCTCCTTAGAAAGTTTTGGAACCGACAGCTTTGTAAACTTCTCATTAAAACCAGCTGCAGGAAACCAGGTAAACTTAAAGTTTGACTGTTATACTGTTTGCATGCATAAACCCACAGCTTTCCTTTATATTCATGCTTATGGTCTTTTTCTTCTCCTCTTCTTCTTCTTATCCTCCTCCTCCTCAGGTGGTTCAACTAATGGCCTTCAAACCGTCAGGTAAGCTCTGCTCAGCTTGTGTGATTTTAGGTCTCAGTAATGCAAGAGCTGGTTTGCACTCTGAGGGATATTATGTAGCAAAGTTATGCTGAGGCATCAACCCTAGATGGCGCTGCTATTTCTCACACTAAAAGAGAAAGGGCTTTGACTGGTCTCTTGGAAGTAATATATGGATGTATGTATTCAGAGATGTCAGTCTGTAAGTACACCCATAAAAAAGTGCCCAGACTGTAGAACCACTGTTGGTTCCTTGAAGAACTTTTCAGTGGATTGTTTATCAGTTAACCATGTCTGTAAATGAGGAGTGTGAAGAGAACATTTTACATAATGAGAAGGTTTTACAATTGCAGTTCATTTTTGGCACTGCACTCCACCACATTGGATCTGAAATAAAACAGTAACAGTTAGATTAAAGTGCAGAATTTCAGCATTAATGGAATATAATGTAATAGAAAAATGGAATATAATGCAATAGAATAATGGAATATAATACCATAGAATAATGGAAAATAATACCATAGAATAATGGAATATAATACAATAGAATAATGGAATATAATACAATAGAATAATGGAATATAATACAATAGAATAATGGAATATAATGCAATAGAATAATGGAATATAATGCAAAAAATTTTGTGTGCACACCTCTGTTGAGTGAATCACACAGGAATCATAACATTGTTCCTCGTTTCAGGGGACAGTTGTTTTTCAGCCTGCTTGTGTGTCGCCGCACCGTTATTTAATGCAGAGCTAACAAAAGGTCTAGATTTGATTCTAGGTGTGCTATTTACAGGAAGTGTCACTAAAGCAGCCTAAAAAATCAGAATTAATCTAAATAAACCAAATAAAGCAAGAAACAAAACACTGAGCCTAAATCACGAAGCACAGGGAATACCATCTCTTACAGCTTATACTAATTTCTACAGTTATCTATGGTCATCTACATACGGAAGGGCAGTAATTCTTAAATGCTTTACCCAATATAGATTTAAATACCTTAATACCCTTTGTAATATTAGTACTGTTTAATGCTACCAATGCATGTAATATAATCAGTGATAGATTACCGACCAGGCCATTGGATCCAGTGCCCATTGTATATGTATGACTAAATGAAAGAAATAAATATAATATTACTTTTTTATACTGTTATTAGCTCATGGATATTGTTATTGTCATACAAATGGAATGTTATTGTTTACCCTTCCAAATAAGTAAGACTGCTTCAGTGTTTGCGTTACGACTCGAAACCAAAAAAGCAGAAATCTTGATTCAAATCTTATACAAAAATCTAGAAATCATATATATTTTATTATACATTTTATTTTTATTATTATAAATAAATGTATTTATTTATTTTTTGGCGTGGGCCTCCAAAGACTCTTGTGCCTGGGGGTCTCGCATAATCATGATCTGTACCTTAGTAGTTTTGGACAAAAATCTAATTTAAGCATTAAGATGATATTTTCCCTGTAACCCCAAGTGATCAGATATGTTTGATGTCCAGAGTTTTGCAGTTGAGCTGCAAGGCTAATGTAAAAACATACGTACCTGGTCATTAACGCAAGTTTAATCATTACAGTACTGTGCAGAAGTCAGAGACCACCTGTTGTGTACAAGGAAATTCATTTGAGAGAAAAAGCAGAACAAAATATATTCAACAGAAATTTACACAGAAGCCTAAACAACTTAAAAAAAAATTAAAAATAAGAGTCTCTGTCGAAAAAGTCCAGCAAAAATAAATAAAAAATAAAAAAAAAATATATATATATATATATATATGTGATATTTTGGTATTGTTGCAGGCTCATTGTATGATTTTAGTGAATCAAATGATCTCACTATACTGGCAGATAGTTTAGCTTGTTTCAAGTATATTTCTTACAACAAGCCATAAAAGGGAGATAATTTGACTTGTAAATTTGAAGTTGAATTAGAAGTAAAAGTGTAGAAATATGTTTAATTATCATATAATAAAGTTACATCATTCTCAAATTATTATTAGAAATGAACTTAAATTAGACTAGATTGAATATAATTTCACTTGACAAGACACCATTTTTTGCAGTATGGAAATTAAATACATGAAGTGTGGTCTCTGACTTTGGCACAGTACTGTAAGTGTGTGAAGATTTAGGCATGCAGCCTCCGTGATACTAATTGGAGAGTATAAGCTTCTATTACTTGTTAGCTACATTGGCCTTACAGCTCCAGAGCAACACTTAAGACCTTGAAAACTGTAGATTTGATTTTGCTGAACTGGGTCTTTCATTGCTAACTGAACAGCTCTTTCTCTGTTTCTCTTTCTGTTCCAGCCTGTTGAAGAGAGGACGCTAATGTGCTCATGCTCTACTCTGGGATGATCAGACGACTCATAAACACACCCACACACACTCACACACTCACCAGAGCAGCTGGAGAAGAGAGCAACTCCTCCACACCTTCACATTCCCAGGGTTACAGCGAGACTGCGCTGGGAGAGAGAGAGCGTCTGCGTGATAACGTGAGAAGCTGCCGAGCGAGCAAGTGAACTGAGCTCACTGTCCAGCAGTGAGCAGGACGCTGGGCAGCGGCCTTTTTGGCACTACACCAGTCCGTGCTTTTCCTTTTCACTCGTAATGGTTGCAGAACTGAAACTCACACTGCTAAATGTACAGCTACCGTTCAAAGGTTTGGAATCACTGTTTTCATGCCTTTAAAACCAGTTCTGGCTGTAGATGACTGCTTTAAATGATTTTAATATGACGCCAGCACTCTACAACACCATAAATTTCAAATTAGTAACAGAAAATTCAGAAATATTTATGTGTCCAGCTGTAGATGATTATAAAATGACCGAGAAAGCTGTAGATCTTCAATAATGCCTTCTATTTCAAAGGCACATAACTTGAGAAAAAGTTACTATAATACATACTAAAATTGTTTTTTTTTATTTTAAACTATCTTTAAGTATTGTTTTTAATTAAACATGAAATAGGGGAGAACCTAACAGTACAGTACAGTAGGGCACAACCTAACACATTTTGGTATTTGATGAATAACTTTAAAAAATATTTAAGATGGAATAATCATATTTTATTTGCTACAAATGAACACTTGAACATAATTTCTTCCCCAAAATGACAGGGAAGTATAATGTTCCAGTTTTGCCCATGGGTGGGTTCACTGTAACAGACAGAGGGGTCAGTTTAACACCTGCTAGAGAAGTCTGATAAATCACTGCAAACAAAGTTAATTCAATATAATGTTGAGTTTTAAGAAACAAATGTTTTCCAATTGTACTGCATTATATATCATCTGTCTATAAGACAGACAGATCGACTGATAATGAAATGATGAAAACTGACAATGAGACTGTGTGTCAAACAATGACAGATTTATTTTTTGTCCACTGTAGGTCAGCAAATAAAAAACACCACATTAGTAAAATATGGAACATTGTTTCTGAATAACTGCAGGTTTACCAGCTGTTAATGGTAATTTCATTAATATACTTGCTTAAAACCATTAAAATGCTAACATCTGAAAGATACTAATAAAGTAGAAGAAAATCCCTTTTCAGATGTTTTCTCTCTTTCATTTTAAACTCTGTCTGGACATATGAAACAAAAAGACCCAATTTACTTTATTTGTCTTTGTTTAATAAAGACGGCTTCGTTGTAACACTGTGTAACAGCTATCCCTGTAGTACGGAGACTAAGTATCACTGGCTGTGAGGAAATGTGGTGATGTGGCCCGAAGCACATGCTGCTTGACCTTCTTTAACAACGTCAATAGTCTGTGTTAATTTGTGCCCTGTGTTAGGTTGTTCCCTGCGTTCCCCTACTGTGTAAAAGTCAGAAACCACCCTTCGTTTCTTTCATTTCCAGTCAAAACAGCCAGTGAGTAAAGAATGTGTAGCTGTCAAGAAGTTGTTACTGAGAAAAGAGAATAGACAAAATAATTGCAACTATTTCAAAGAAGCTGCTGCTGTTCTCAGAACAATGGGCTGACCACTCCAGAGTCCAGACCTCAACATCACCGAATGTTTTTGGGATTACTTGGATTATTAAAGGTAGAAAATGCAACCAACTTCTAAGACTGAACTTTGGTGTGGAAAAATATCCCTGCAGATTTCTTTGAAAAACTCAAAGCAAGTCTACTGAAAAGCAGGGAGGTGATAAAGGTAAAGAGTGGACACAATGAATACTGAAAACTGGTACTGTATTTAGTTGTTGAAGCTTCTGTGTAATTTTCTGTTACATAAATGCTTCTGATGCTGAAAAATGAAGAACTCGTACTTGATGGCTGTTTTGCCTTGAAATAAGTGAAGGGTGGTCTGTGACTTTTGCATAGTACTGCACCTTTCGGTGTACACTGTATACGTTATTCTTGAACAAAATAACAATTAGTAATAAAGTGATTCCAAACATTTGACCGGTAGTCTAGTGGCAGACCTCATCATATTGTGCACATCGCATGTTACGTTTTGACCAGGCAGTCCGTGGCTGTCAGTGAATAGACTTAACAGTTGTTAATGTAGATAGTGTATTACTGACGGTTCAGAACAATAGGAAACCTATCAATGTCACCTATCAACATGTCTATTCTTTGCTTCTTTGCTTATATGCTATGCAGAGGGCAAAACGGCTTGCTCCAGTATTGCTTGGCCTAAATAAAGGCCCAATATTTAAATATGAGCAAGAACAGATACTGTTCGGATCAGCAAGGGGTTAAATGTAGCCATATATTTGTAATAGTTTCCCCAAAACAAAAATGCTTTAGCATTTTTGGCTGAGGAAACGATGGACGCTTGCTTTATTTACAGTCATATGCAAAAGTTTGAACTAAATAAAAACACTTAAGATGTCCTCTACAGGGATTCACCTTATATAGAGCAATTTTCTGCTTATTTTAGTGCATAATTTCTACTTATTTGTTGTAAACATAAATATGTCAAATTTGACAGGCCAAATTTTATGTTTTCCACAAATAAGCAGTGCCTGTGCATTAACTGTACATGTGTAGAGGATGTGTTTGACCAAGGGTGCCCAAACTTTTGCACACAGCTGTATGTTCTAAAAACAAAGCATATGAATTGAGTTTCTTTACCGTGTCAGAAAGGATCATCAATCTCTGTGACAGTAATGGTAATGATGGTAAATAAAACTGAGACAAACTTCAGTACATCTATTTATTTGTATTTGTGTTGTTGTAATTAGGGATGCCTTGATATGGAATTATCAATTATCTAGGGTAATAATAGTAACAGTAATTACCCTGTTGTGGTTAATAAACCAATAACCAATCATTTATCATTTTAATATAATTTTGCATTTTTAAAAAGGGTTTACATGGTAATCCACTGACTGCTCAAAGGCAGCCGAACCAACTCCTAAGACTGAACTTTGGGGGTGTGTCTGCAGATTTCTTTGAAAAACTGAAACTGAGTCTCCTGAAAAGAATGGAAGCTGTAATAAAGGCCAAAAGTGGACACACTAAATATCAAAAAATGATATTATTTATAGTTGTTGAGGTAATTTCTGTGTAATTTTCTGTTATATAAATGTTTCTTCTTTTTTCCTCAGACTGATGAATGAATAACTTGTACCTAATGGCTGTTTTGACTGGAAATCAGACTAATAACAATAATGAAATTTTCCAATTTGCTCTCAATGATATGTCAGCCGCCTATATATTGGCACCCTGTTGATAGTAATAAAACAATTAACGTGCTCAGCCGTGCAGCAGATGCCTTTGTGAATGGAGGAGCATGAGCAGGATTTTGAGAGGCCTAATATCTGTTCTTCCAAACAGACCCAAGAAATACGCTTTCTCTTTGTGCGCTCGCGAAAGGAATGGCAACATATGTGAATGTTTTGTGACCTTCACATAGCCTTTCTATAGAAATTAGCTGGAGAGTCTCTTAGAGGCGGCCCGGGGGACGCGCCTTTCTCCTCAGCACTCAAACAAACACGGCCATTCAAAATAAGATTGCTTTTTTCTCTCTCTCTCTCTCTCTCGCTCTCTTTCTCGCTCTTTCACTGCTGTCAAGTCAGAAGCACTGGCCTCAGAAAATAATTCCAAACCCATAAATAATTTCATTTATTTATTTATGCATTTATTTATTTATTCACATTTCGATAAGAAATAAAGCACTTTGCAGTCAGATAATGTGGACAAGCACAGTTATTTTTTTGACATAAATGAAGTATCTCAGTATTATAAGATAAGATATTACCTCTTTATTGGAATTATTTTAAATAAATACTATGTCTGTATTCTGGGAATACATTGTTCGTAGGCCGAGCGTCTAAACAACTCTGAATAAACGATGGCTAAGTGACAGTGATGTTGATCAACAGGGTTAAAGTACAGAACAGTCACAGTTACAATCCTCCATAGAAAAGCACGAGCGTATTTTTAGGAAAATATCTGCTTTTGGCACATTACAACGTAGAAATACACAAACATAAGAGTGAAAATGCACTAGAATAAAGTCCCCGTCAGGTCGCATATATATATTGATCATAAAGCAATTCAAGCTCAGTGTCAATGTGAATGTGAAACGAAAATAAAAAGATAACCATTCAATTTGTTTGGCATCTGTCATGCCTATGGCAATGTGAATGACCCAAAATAAGACGGTCAAGTCATCCTGAGTGGGGCTTTAAATTACATGCAGAATGTCATTTTGAAAAGTGCACAAAAAAATACAAAAAACAAGGAAAACTCAAACACCAGTCCAAGTGAAGCAGAAATCTTTGTTTCACTGTTGCTCCTGTCAACGACATTTAAGAGCGACACTTTGTCCTTCTGCACTATTTTGAGGAATGCGAGGCATTTCAGCACTTGCAGATGAAGCTGAATGCTTCACATGGCTGTAGAGATGGCACTGATCTCATAATTCTCAAAGGTACACTTAGAAAAATGAAAGGGCTGTTTTTTGTTTTGAATCAGTTTCTCCAGCTGTTATTACTTAACAAAGGCATGTAAATCAGTGGAACTGACTAAGTCAATGAAATTAAGTGAGTGGTCAGATTTACTTCATAAATGGTCAGTGTAATCGTGTTGAGTAAAACTCAGCATGACCCTGCTTGGCTCTATTTGCATATTGTTTTACTTGTTTTTCTCACCCTCTTCGTGTTTTCAGTAGCAGGCTGATGTCAACAGAAACGCTAGATTGAAAATCACAGGAGAAAAAAGGAATCAAATCAATCTGATTCTGTAACAAACCTGTCCTGAAATAGTGCAGAATCGCTTGGAGCGGCACAAATTGTAAAGCGAAGTGAGGTCATGTTTCAGTAACAACATGATAACATCATGTAAAAGTGGGATGGTTGAGTGTTTCAGAAGTTTAAACATGATGTATAAATATTAGGGGTGTAACGATACACAAATTTCACAGTACGATACGTATTGTTTTCGCACCACGATACCACACGTTTTTGGTACTTTCCCAATTTTTTTTCAGAATTCCTACTGTTGTCCAGTGCCTGTTGAAGTGATAAAAGTCATGTTCTCAGAAGAGACCAAGATGTATGTTACATGTTGTACGTGTTATTGCGGCTCATAAAATTAAAAGTAAACAACAAAATTGAGGCTATGTTTCAAAATTTGCAGTCTTATTTACAATCCGATCTTGTGTTTCTATATATATGTATATAGTGTGTCTCTTTGTGTGCTGGAGGGGATTTTCTAATGTGGCTCAACCTCTCCCAGCAAACTGCACAATCCAGGACTCTCTACAACCAAATAGTGGTGCAAAACAGAAGCTGTAAGCGAGTTTTTGGTTTCTGCTGTTCAGAAATCGGCTGAATCCTGTGGGGCGAAGTAACTGCTGCGGCCTGTGTTTTCTCCCCAAGGCTGAAGTTGGCTTCCTACTCGTGAGCATTTTACTTTATTTTCTGTTCCACCTTAAATGGAGTGGGAAAGAAAAAATCAAATAAGAAGCTCAGCTTTGTGTTTTCTCCTCGCCTTAGTAACTTGAGTTAATGAGTTAGCGTTTTTGAGAAACTCACGTTGAGCAATGTTAGCACACTGGGATAATTCAGCCAACCATTCTCTGCCGTCATTATTGTACTCGACTAAAACAAAAGTGTTCCCAAAGAGATGAATACGAAGATGATTTTATGTGTTCCACCTCTCTCTGCTGGCCTTTTCTAACAGCTTGGCTAAACAACCATCCAAGGCAGGCTAATTTTTCCAGTTCCAAGATCTGTGCAGAGGAGTTTTAGGAAAGTAATGGACTGTGTTGAATAGAACTATGGAAGCCATTCCCAGTATCATGCATTTTATAGCATGAATTGTCTCTTAACCACGTTACGTGCATATCGTGACACCCCTATCAAGTATATGATCTTTACACAAAATATTTCATTTGAAAATGTACTTTCAAACAAAAAAAAAATCGGATTGCAGCAGTATCGGACAATACTTGGAGTATCAGTATTGGTATATGAAAAGAGAATGTTGTATCGTGCCATCTCTACATGAGTAGCCCCATCAAACTTCAACAAAGGTCCTTGGTCACTTTCTTTGCAGAACCAAAATTTACAGTGATGCTTTTCAGACAGCTATTCTTACCGTCATATAAACATTATAGGTATGTTAGCAAAGCAGACAGCCAAACAGCAGTACCCCAAATCACGATGGCTGTAGGACCAGAATTGAAGAACCAAACAAAACTCTGGTGTTACTGCTTTTTGTTTATAACTGGTATAACTTAATCTTAAACAAAAAAGTTATGAAAATAAAAGCTTTAAGGGCCCTTATACTACTTTCATCTTGCATCTCAAGACCACTTACAACATTTGTGTGGTTTTATATAACAAAAACAGCTGTTATTTCACTTGAACACTTTCCAACCTTTCTTAATCCCTTAGAATTAAACAGGCCGTCCTTGTGACTGAGCATTTCAGACTGATATTTGTTGATCTCTGTTCTGACTGGCTTTCCCTTATAGCATCTCCTTTAAAAAGCAGTCTGGGCTGAAATTTACAGAACTACATGTTAAGTTTGGACAGAAATGTTAAGAAAAAAATCAATTCTGGATGTCTTGGAAGGCTGATGTGATCAATTTGCCTCCTGACAGCCATGAACAGTACAATGTTTAGCCGTTTTCCTCACATCTTCCACTCTAAATAACTACTGCTAAAGACCGTATGCAGTAACAACACTCCATATCCCCTCAGCCTGAATGGGCAGGGCTAATCTGCTGTAGGCTGAACGGGCAGCTGATGTGAACGATTGTTACATCATAACCACAATGAAAGCAAAATGGGCTGTTTCTGCAGCTTGGCTTCCATACTGGGGCGTGAACAGCATGTTTTGAAACTTGAACAATGTTTACATAGTATATCAAACTTTTCTTGTTTTTGCTCAAAAAAGCTTTGTTTTGCATGAAATGGGCCCTTTGAGACAAAATCAACTGAATCCAAAATGACAAACACATAGCATAATGTTCTTTGCCATAGTAATGCAAGTCATACAATACCAAACAAATGAACTCACAGTGGCTATAATATAAAGATTGTCATCTTCATTTCTTCATTGCTGGAATTGGAAATAATATCTTGCCACGTACAAAGCACAAATGACAGTGTTAATAGCACTTAAGAAGTACTCCAGTGTCCTTAGCACACTTTAGCCTTTGCAGCCTGGGCGCTTCCACACGCTCATCTGCACCCACGCACCTGGCTCAGATGGCGGTGGCTCTCTTGGCGTGGAGCATCTCTATGAGCAGGCTGTTGCAGGGCACGTCTCCGCTCAGGTGTTTGGAGCTCAGGTAGTCCTCGGCCTGGCTGCTGAGCACGCGCAACTCGGGCAGGCGCAGCAGCAGCTGGCTGAAGCGGTCCAGGTGCTGCGGGTATGTGCTGAGCGTATATTCCAGCAGAGCTCCATTCACCTGCTCCTGCACGCTCTCCACAAACGCCTGGTTCTCTAACAGCTTCACATCTACAGAGAGGAGGACAGACAGGACAACAGTGCTTGTTTGTGTTACACAATCACCTGACCGCTTGCAAAATTGATTAATGCGTCGCTTAGTCGATCACGATCATCATCTCCTGCAGGCAAAAGGAAAACTTCTTACAACAAACCTGCAGTGAGAAAGGCAGTGGCAGCAAGTTAGCCAGAATTATTGTGCTAAGAAATGATGGAAATGAGTGATTGAGAAAGGTACTGTTCTGTATTATGATATGCAACGTAGCATGAAATGTTTGCCAATCTGTGCTGTTTTCTTCGTCAGGGGGTGTTGCTATAATTAAAATCAGAAGGGTGCGCTATTGTGTCTAAATGATGTTTGAGTGTGTTCTTTCTACTAGAAACAAAAAGAAAAAGAATACAGATTGGAGTTCTGAGCTGGAAGTAAAGGTTAAGAACCCCTACCAAGACATACTTTCTTCACAACAAACCCCTTTTTCTTTGGTTCGCTACCTAGCACACAACATTTAATGCGTGACATGCTATCTTGATCATCTGAAGAATGGTGTTTTTGTTTCATTCCAATGAAACTGTAGACCACACCGAAACTACTAACAGACAAACTTATACTGCCTCTAAGTTCAGCTAGACTTTATTTGGGTTACTATATTTGATAAAAATCATGTCAAACAACAAATAACATTACAGAAACTGTTAGGCTCAGTTAGCTAGCAAGTTAGCTTGTCTTAACTTAGCTGCTAACAGCTGGACAAATCAGTCAGATTACACAGGACTGTACAGTGCAGACATTTATGCTTGAAACATTAATGCACCTGTACCTGTGCCTTTCTTCGCAATGCTTTATTAAAATTTGCCGAGTTTTCCTTAGCGTCTCCAGCATTAGCATTAGCATTAGCTCATTTGCTCATTGTGAGACATGAAAACCTGCTACTTTAGCACCCAGTGGCTACAGGATTTCCCTGATTTGATTAATGTGAAATAAGTTTCGTTTTCTCAGTGAGGCTCCTTAACATCCACACATCCTTTCAGACCCACAGCGCTGAGTCGTCTTCTCACAGTGCAAGGATGGACAGAAACACCTGTGGATGTTTTCAGATCTGAAGCAGCTTGATTTTCTCCTCTCTCTCAAAGATGAAAGCTTTAAGTGCTGCTTATCTGATGGGGCAGTTTAGTGGCCCACCAGGTCTTCCAGGCGGTTGTTATGAGCATTTTCTCACCAGCTTTTAATGATTTTGTGAACTCCAGTTGTAGAAACTCCTGTTTTTTTTTTCACTTTGACTGTGTGGATTATCTTCTATCTGATCTTCTCAGCAATATCTCACTTGCACTTAATTGCTGTTTAGACTGAAAATTGAACAAGTGCTCTCTGACCTGTGAACACTATAGTGTAGGACCTAATAATGAATGGACAATAAAAGTAAAAGGTAGGTGTACCTAATAACGTGATCGGTATGTTTAAATCTGTTAGGCTTTTTAAAAGTATGTAAGTATTTCATGTTTATGTATTTTCTTGATGTCTTGATGAATATGTCAGTGTGTGTCTATGTGCGTGTGTGTGTATGAGACAGAGAGAGAGAGAGCGAAAGAGAGCGTGTGTGTGTGTGTGTGTGTGCTGTGAGTGACAATAGGCTGAATGGTCGTTTTCAGAGCGTTAGCTGGCTCTCATCAGAAAAGCCATTCACCATCTAATTAAAACGCTGAATTACTCTTAAATAGGTTTGAAGGACACAAATTACCCAATAAACCTGTTTCCATTTCCAGATGGAGCGAGAGAGGTTGAATGTGACAGAGAGTAGAAATGAAAATGCTTTCGCATTCAGACATTCTTCCCCCCCCCAATCCCCTCCAACCCCCCCCAACCCCCCCCCACACACACACACACACACGCTTTGTGTATGGCAGTCAATAAAACTGTAATTGCCTCAGAATTTTCTGGAAAAAGAGGTCGTGTTTCTATATGCTCCGGCCAGCGCGCGACATTGTCTGACCACACTTGTTTAGCCAAATATTCACACTATTCAAGTAGTTCTTCACATTGAACCCTGATAAAATTTGAATGCAATTACCGGGGCTTATACCGAAGCGCATGATTCATGCTTTCACGTATGATTAAAGTGGAAACGTTACAGAAGCTCATGCAGCCCAAGGTATTCCGAAAATATTCATATTTGCCACATTCTCGAACACTGTAACCTCTCTACACCGTAACCAGAACACATTTTATCCAAGTATTTGCTGTCAATTTCAGTGTTACAGCCTGGAACTGAATATGCAGAAGTTTGAACAACCCTGGTCAAATGACATGTTTAGTTGATGCTTAAAGTCAAAATAAGCGAACACATCCTCTGCAGAGAACACATATAGATATTTAAAACCAAGAGTTTAACATGTTGGGGTAAAACCACATACAACATAAATGTGCCATTAATTTTGCACAGGCCACATTGTACATCTCATATGTTAAATTCAGCAGATAAACAGTGACTCTGTGTTAAAATGTGCTGCATCCTTTCACTTAGGAAACCAGCAGAACGTTATTTGAGCAGGGGCGCCAATAGTTTTGCACACAACTGTATGACTAAACATTATTGCAAAATTTACAACATTTCAAAATGCAAGAAAATTTCCACGATGCCCCTCACCCTTTAGTTTCAAAGAACCAAAAAGGGTTCTTTAGAACAATGCCAAAAGAACCACTTTTGGTTCTTTAAAGAACTTCCCAATTGATGGATTTTTTTTTCTTTTTTTTTGTAAGTGAGATAAGAAAGTGTGAAAAACTTTTTTTTATGCTTAAAGAATGTCCACATAATGTCAAGGTTCTTTGCCAATTAAAGTTTCCTTTTTTCAAAGAACTGTAGATTCAAGCCAGAAACCGTTTAGGAACCTTTATTCGAGGGGCTGTAAGAAACGGCAAAAGGAGACATTGATCTTTAACGCCTCTATTTCTCTTGCTTTAAAATGTCTTGAGCAGGGGTGAAACTTTTGCTCATTTGCACAGCAACACAGTCTCACAATGGCTATGCACAATGGCTGTGACTGGGTCTAATGGAACAGTTAAGTAATTACATCATTGTTCATATGTAATTACATGATTACATGATTAATTACATAGATATTAAACTAATTATTACACAGATGTTTTACAGGGGTACTTTTCTATACCTCCAAAGTTCTTAGTCTTAGAAGTTGCATTTTCTGCTTCTCACAATACAAATAATTCCAGTTACAAATTTAGACTCCTCAGTCCATAAAGGCTTACTCCACATCTCAGACACAATGTTCTAATGTGCGTTTCTCAACCTGTGGGCCACAGGCCTCCAGTGGGCTGTGAAGCACCCTCTAGTGGTCCGCAGGCCTGTACTCAAAGGGAGGCAGTGGTTTGTACGGGGCCAGTAATGTCATTTTGTAACAAAAAGTGGAAAAAAAGACTAACTTAATAATCAAAAATTGTGGAATCAAATGTTTTCAGATTATAACCAATATGCATATTATTAGAGATATACAAATAAAAATGTTGCAGAATAGAAGGTGAATTAAATACCGAAATTGATGACCTGATCTTTTTCAGTTCCTGATTCTCAGGTTTTCAGCAGTTAAAAGTTTATGACATTTGGCAGACGCTGTTATCAAGAGCGACTTACAATTTGATCGTTTTATACAGGTAGGCAAAGGTAGTGTTGGGAGTCTTGCCCAAGGACTCTAACAGATACTGTAGGGTGCTGTCCTGGCAAGGGATTGAACCCCACTCTACAGCATAGAAGGCAGAGATAGGACCCACTACACTATACCAACCAAGGCTTTTTGTGTGAGATTGACAATATATAACTCAGTGGTCTCCAACCCTGGTCCTGGAGAGCTGCCTTCCTGCAGAGTTGAGCTCCAACCTGCATCCAATAAGCTGTCCCACCCCTTATTCAACTCTATTACATCTGATCCAGCTGATAAGGGACTTGTGAAGATTTTGATTAGCTGGAGCAGGTGTGGCAGATTGTGGTTGGAACTAGGACTGCAGGAAGGTAGATCTCCCGAACCAGGGTTGGAGACCACTGACATAATCATTGTCTTTACCAAAGAACACTTGAAGAACCTCTTTTTTGAGGGATGCACAGAGGGCAGTACTCACTGGGGTTGAAGAGGATGAGGAACTTCAGGCAGGCCATCTCTCGGCGGTCCACCTGCAGCAGCTGAAGCCGGTGGGAGAGTTCCTGTCCCCTCTGCACAAGACTGGACAGGGTCAGTCCTGATTCAGACGTGACACCAGCCAGCTCCACCTGCAACACGCAACACATCATCCTCTTTCAGTACATTCAGTGCTCAGTAACATCTGCAATAAACTAATACATACTGTAAATTGTTTGTCCATTCAGCCTAAAAATGACTTCACGTGGTAACAAGAAATTAAACTGGTGTAATTCCTTAAAATTCCAGGCTTATGACATACTAAGGCTTATTATTCGGTACTTACAGGGACTTCATTCAAACTGGCTAAGCTATTCTTAGGTCATAGAAGTGTGTAATAAAACTTGGGGCCTGCTGGTGGGCCCTGGCCATGTAAGGGGTCAATTTAACTTAAATAAATACTCTGAATAACACAGTTCAAAGCAAAATTAATACATTTAAGGAAAAGCAATATTTTACATCAATTTCTAACACTAAAAACACTAGGAACATTAGGCCTCATTCACCAAATGTTCCAAAGCCACTTACGTAATTTTCACGAAGGTTCTGACATCCACCAATGTTTTCTTATTTGGGATTTATTCTTAGGTAAGAACAAAATCTACACACACTCAAGAGCACAAAGGTGTGAACAGTTTTGTGGTTTAAAAACACATCATAAATCTGATGTAGACTATTTTTAGGACCTTTCTCAAGAACAAATTTACGAACAAATATAGGAAGATATTGTTGAACGAGGTCCTTTGTTAATTGTTCAGATGGATGGGTCGAGACTCACCACTTTGCCGAAAAATGCATCAACAAATGATGCAACTGTTTAAGCACAATGTTCCTCACATGCACAGCTGAAGCCATATGTCAACAACACACAAAACGCTGCTGATATCTCTGGGTTTCAGCTCATGTGAAATTGACTTACGTACAGTGGAAACATGTATTGTGGTCTGATGAGTCAACCTTTCAGATTGTTTATGGCAGTAATGGATGCTGTGTTCTTCAGGCCAAAGAAGAAAATGCCCATCGAGACTGTTACCAGTGTAAAGTTCAAAATCCAGTGTCCGTCATGGTATTGGGGGGGGTAATTAGTCACTAACTTTCATAACTGTGAAGGCAACTTTAATTCCTAAAGATGCATAGACATTTTGGAGCAACACATCACTGCTGTCGGATCAAAATCTCGTATCTCCAAAATAGTAACTTTACAGGAGAAGGTAAAAACCTACTCTACTTTTAATGTAAGTCAATGGAACCAGACCTTTTTTTCCAAGTCATTTTAGGCCAGTTTCATTTGGTCCATTCACCATGAAATTTACAGACAATATAAAGGGCAACAGGCAGTTTGAAGTTATGTCAAAAACTGAAAAATGACAAAAATGGAGATACGAGGGTTTGTTCTGACAGCAGCGATATGCTGCCTTTTAGACACCATCTTTTTCAAGGATGTCCATGTTTATTTCAACATTAGAATGCCAAGCCACATTCTAAACGTGTTACAACAGCATGGCTGTGTAATCAGAGACTGTGGGTTTCCAAAAAAATAATTAATAAGTTAATAAGCTAAAATATCAAATATCATGTTTTTGTGCTGTTCAGTTATATGCAGGTTTACAATGCAGAAGAATGTACACACACATGCAAAAACATCTCTAGGACACCCACCTCTTGGCCAGTGATAAGGAGCAGAGAATTCTCTCTCCCATGATGCACCTGTCTACAGATGTGGTCCAGAAGTAGAAGCTCACTCCAGCAGTTGTGCAGCAGCCGCATCTGATCACCCACCTGCACGAGATCATGGGAAATGTAGTCTAATCACACCAACGTAACAATGTTATTTCAGTACTAACAGGTTCTTAAAATGTCATGGAGAATTGTTACGCTGTTATACTGTGTGTTCTCATTGCTCAATCTCAATGGGCTTTTCGCTTAGTCTCACCTCTCATTGGTTACTGTTGCTCAATCAGACAAGCTATCAAGCCCCACATGACAACTTCCCCCCAGAATTCTTTGTAACAATTGGAGAAATGCATCTAAAAGCATCATCAGCCTCATTTCTGAACTATTTCTATGCTATGCTGCTTACATAAGAGCTCAGGCCATGTTATTGCAGAACAATCATATTTGTCATTCTGTCCTTTTTAGGCATTTCTGCCTAAAGGGAGACTTTAATATGTTATTTGTCATGTTATGTAATATTCCACTACACAATATTGCATCTGTCAGGCTCATCAGTTCGATAGAATTCACAGTTTTGTAACTGTTTTGTGTTTTCTTCCATCACTCTCTCTACAATACCCAGCATGCATTACGCAAATACATCATCACATCATACAACTGCTGAAAATTCCTGACCGCTTGTGTGACCACTGATGTAGAGGCTAATAAATACAGACGTGATACGCAACTTTTTATCAGAAATGTTAGTTATCTCACTTTCCTTCCCCAGATAGCATAAATAAATACATAAATGGATCAAACACCCTGACATATCTGCTCCAAAGTGTTAGTAGTTTTTCTGAAGATCCTCCCACCTTCAAGATACATCATAAGAGGAGGGTTTCTTAGTCTTAGAACGGAAAATTCCTGCTCTAGACACTGTTGAAGCACCTCTGCAGGAGGTGAATAGACATGTTTACAACAGATGAAGCGATGGGTACATTTGTTATTTTGGCCAGAGTGCCCCTTTAACCCCTTAGCATTCCAGGCTTATTACATACTAAGGCTTATTATTCATTAACCTGTTCAAAGGCAGCACTCACTCACTGCACTCACTCCCCTCTCATGAGAGAGAAACGTAGTGTTTAGCTGCTGCCATCATCATCATCTCAGCACACACAACAAGATGACTGTTCTCACTTATTGTCAGCGCACTGTTAGCTGCCACAGTGCCATGTGTCAATGTAACGACTTGAGGAACGACTGAAGGTACTTTTTTCTCCTACAGGTTTCTGCAGCTACTAAAGAATAGATCTTAAACAGACCAAAAAAAGGGGTGGGCAATATAGGGTCCCTGACATAAATTACAACTACACATAAAGGCAGGGGTGCAAATCTGGTCTGATGAGTGGGAGGAATGTCAGGAGGCTAAAGCTTACATACTGCACTTCAGATTTGAAAAGTATGGCTACAATTACAGTGGAAACATCCATATCTCATGCTTTATATGTCAACATTTCAAAAACAAATAATATTTTAAACAAGAACAATAATTATAATTATGCACATTGTCATCTCCGAAATGGTGACTTTACAGGGTAAGGAAAAATGTTCTTAACTTGTAATGGAAGTTCATGTAACAAGATTTTTTCCAAGCCATTTTGGAGCATTTCTATTGGTCAGAATAACATGAAATGTTAACACCATGCAGAGGGCAACTACACTTATTATGCAAAATAAGCATTAAAAATGGAGATTTATTTTGCACGACAGTGACGATATTCAATATAGAGATTCAGTTTTGTCGTCTATTACAATTTCTTAGTCTGATTTTGCTATAATTTTTCAGCAAAATACCCCAGTAATGATAAATATGATAACTAGGAAGAAAAAGGTAGGACCCTCACCCCTCACCACTGCCCAACACTACCTCAACCACTGAACTCTCACTGCCTACAGGCTGATCAAAGACGCCAACATGAAGTAATGAACCCACTCTCCAAAGCTCAGAGGTGCCAGAATATTGTTTAACCCTTCACTCTTTAAACCCTAAGGATTCGTATGTGGGCCCGCAATATTCTTCACCTTCACTGCATAGTTACCATGTTGGGAAAGTCTGTCCACTTGGCAGATATCTTTGCAACACCACCGGGCAGTTATTTGCCAGCCTTCTAAGACCAGGCTCCTCTCTCTTAAATGGGGAGAGACCAGTATACTCATAACTGAAGGTCCATTTAAAATTACTGTTTTAAAAAGCGTGTCTGAAATCATCGGTAAAATCGGGCAAAAGCTCATTAATAGTTTGTAGCTTTTGGCTCAATAACGCACAAAAAATTAGCATTATAGCATTACAAAATGTAGTAAAGCCATGTTGTAAATGAGTCCAGGACATGCTAGAGCTTCTTCGTCATTATGAACTTATATAATAAATGAGCCAACAGTTTATTTTAGCTTTAATTAGAGTTTGAAGGTGCAGCTCAGCTACTTCTTTTAATGACTATCATGCAATGTCGAAAATCATCTTGCATAACTACAAAAAGTGGAAGGGACATGCCCCCCTCTGCCCCCCACCCATCCTGCATCTGCACCATTGCCAAAACATGAGGCCTTGTTTCGAGAGATAATTGTCAAAATGCTATTCACAAGTCCTGCGGCTCAAGCAAAAGCACACCTGAGCCCTTTGAAAAGTCCTTGTGTTGAGTGATGGCTTTGCTGGCACAACTCTGATTGACCCTTTATGAGTCAGACAGTGACCTCTTACCCTCACACCTCTGTCTTTGTTGTATCTCTCTCTCTTACCATCCTTCATCTCTATTCATCCCATCTCTCATGTTCTCTTTCTGTCCTTCTTTGTGCGTTTCCTGTCCTCTCTCTCTCTCTCGCTCTCTCGCACTCTCGCTCTCTCTGTCTCCTGTCAGTGCTGCGTTCTGAAGGCCGTGTCAATAATTCCACACAAAGAGAGCAGCTCTGCTGGACTAATTAGACTGTATTTCTGTCGGACACAGTTTTACAGACTAAACGAGGCTAATTGCTGCTAGTAGGCTGCAGTGCTGTCGGACGGCGATACGTCTCAAATCTACTACTTCTGTAGTGTAATAGCCACTGCAACTACACTTTATTTGGATAAACTATTCAGCTAAATATCTATTAAATGCAGTGTGAAAGATTTTATTAAAGCTGACCCTAAACCAAACCTTAGGGCAAAACCTGCACCTACTCCTAGACCTAATCCTAACTTCAATCTTGTTGATAATCAACTGAGTATCACCAGAAAGTTTAATAAAAATTAAAATATCTGTAGATGGGTCATTCTACAGAAACGTCCATTTTTGTGTCCCTAGCATTTACAGTTATATTACACTTCAAAAACATGTTAGGGTTACAATTTATTTACATTTTAAAATAAAACAATAAGTTATTTTAACAATTACGCCTTCTTGAGCCTCAATCTAGCAATATTAGTTCTTAAATCCATTATCAAGAATTCCAGGCACCACAGAAGTGTTTGTCCCCACAGTCATATGTGAAGGGTGAGGCCATATTTTGAAGAAAAAAACACATTTTTCTGAAATTTTAACTACAAGAATCTATACATGACTGTGAAATATATTATTTAAATGACAAAAAGAGAACAAATGGCAAATAAATATTATAAAATATATAATGAAAGTTGTGGTCCTCAGGAGTCGTGTCACCGGTGTTACCATGTAACAAAAAATCTCTTATTTTGAAATAATAATCACACTGATGACATCACTTGACCTCTTTTTACCTATTTTCTGAAGATCTATGAAGAAAAGCACATGGTAAGTCCACTGTGTCTTTCAGTTATCAGAAATGAATGGAATAGAATAGAAAAAACTGAATACAAATGGATTAAACTACATATTTTAGTGGACATTCCATGACTGACAACATGTGGTTTGATGCTCTGCAGCAGCCATTTGTAAAATGCATTTTTCATTAAAAATGTTTCTGGTGTTACATTTATTATGTAACACCAATGAGGATCGGTAACACCAGTGACTCCTATGGAGAGATAGAAAAGTGGACATTTCTGTAGAATGACCCAGGTCATTTATAGGGGACCATCCAAATAAAGTGTGACCGCAAATTTTAACCATGTGAATTCAGAACACCATTTTTCCAGTGTAGTGTGTTCACCTTGCATAAACAAGGCAAACCTCTTGCATAAACAAATAGCAAAAAAAAAGAAATCTGAGACTCATAACAACCATGCAAGACCTGGTAGACCACCAAAACTGACCCCATCAGATAAACAGCACTCAAGGAGGAAAAACAAACAACCAACTTCTAAGACTGAACGTTTAGACTGTAGAACTTAAAGCAAGTCAATTTACAGGTGTTCCTGTCCATCCTTCCACAGTGAACGCTATGAACATCTGAATGGCTGTGTAGCTTCAGAAAGACCTTACGGAGAAAAGGAGCTGCTGATGTTCTCAGAACAATTTACTGACCACCCCAAAGTCCAGACCTCACTGGAAAAGATTTGAGTGGCTACTGACTGACTAGAGTTTATTTGCCTTGTGTCTCTAGTGATAAACTAAGAAAGTAAAACTAGGGCACTCAAACATGTCTTGGTTGATTGACCGCATCTGGGGTAAGTGGAAAACTGAACAAATCTGGTCTTTTCAGTCTTTTCCAAGGGTCTCTCATTTACCTTCTATCTGGAAAGCACCATCAGTGGTTGAAAGCCTCATAACCAGACATCTGGGTGCATCCTATCTGAGTCAAGTGGGCGGCTAGGGGGCACTCTGTGGACACTCCCAGGCCCCAATGGGTGGGCCTTTTTTCTGAAGTTGCTTACAAATTCTTATAAAATTAGCATTTTGGGGGGGGGGTTATTTGGTCAGATGTAGGCACTGAAAGGAGGTTCTGTTTGAGAACGTGTATTTATCCATGTAGCATAGAATAACAGTTCTGTTGAATAAACACAATATCAAAAAACGGGATCAAATCTTGACCTTGGAATCGAATCGAACTTGAAAATATGTGTATCGTGACACCTCTAATTCACACATACACAAGCTACATGTTATTGTGGGCAGTCATCACAACTGTCTTTTGTAGGTGCCCCCAGAAAGCTTTCAGCAGTTTGGAACAATGCGCCTGGAGATCCGGAGGAGCGGGAGAGCTGAATTCCTCGCCTATCTGCAGAGTGGAATGTAATTAAACAGCAGAGAAAGAACGGTGTGTGTGTATGTGTGTGTGTGTGTGTGTGTGCAGTAGGCAGCCCCCACCACACACCATTCACTCACTTTCGGACACTTTCTCGCACCGTGTGCCTTGCGAGCTGGATGGTTACCATGGCTACACCAGAGAAGCTGAGCAAAATCCGGGGTATCGATTTATACGTTGGCAGCGCAGACGCTCCTCGAGGCTCGGCTTCATTTATTTATGTGTTTATTTCTTTATTTTATCGCAAGAAAATCCATCTGTTTGGTCTCTGAACGTTGCAGCTTATCTGACAGGTCACCTTATTTCTTTGAAAACGTGCAGCAGCAGCATAAAGAAGGTGGCGTCTGAAAAGAGGAACAGCAGCTCGTATCGGCTTCTGAAGAATGTATAACTCCGCTTATCACTGCAACAACAAATCTATTGTGCTCCACCACACTCCCGGCTCTGAGCTGCGACTCAGTGTCCGTTTGAGCCTCTCAGGCCTCGGCCATCGAGGCAGCATGTTGCACAACACCGGAACATGCAGAACATCATTTCAACAGGGCCTCCTGACCACACTCAAGTCAACCTGGGATCCAAACTGACCTTCTTAATGACCCTGTTAGTGGACCATGTCAAGCACAATTCATCATATCACATCATTCGAAAAGCTACATTCTTCCTGTGATCTTTCATCAAAACGTTGCCCCGCCTTTAAAACGTCTACGTCTAGTGGGCGAGGGAAATAATATATTCCAATAATCCTGACTTAAATATAAAGGTTTCTAAATGGTCTTGGATTGGATGTTTGGTGCTAGGAAAAAAACTTTAAGTGCTATAGAATTTTTACATTCATTGAGTGGACTAAGGTTCCTCCATATCATATTTGCAACAATGGTTCTTTAAAGAACCGCCTTTGAAAGGTTCTTTAGTAGAAGCACCCAGAATAGTTCTTCTATGGCAAGAACCCCACTTTTACATTATGTGGACTTTTAAAAAGATTCCAGCGTATCACATTTACAACAATGGTTCTTTAAAGAACCATCCTTTGTAAGGTCCTTTAGGAGAACTACCAAAAATAGTTCTTCTATGGCAAGAACCCTTTCTGGCCCCTTTTAAGAGTTTTAAAGAGTGTAGACTTGTTTTTCTGATACTAATCTTATCATTTAGTACCTATTCTGAGTTATTATTAGCTGGTGTGAAACTGGTATGGACGTTCTAATGATATGAGAGTGTCATGCCTTACTGTCTGAAAAATAAAGGTTCCTAAATGGTTCTTGGCTTGACTGTATAGTTTTAGGACAATTTATTACATTTTGTAGAAGGTTCAAAAAATCAGCGGTTCTTAAACTGGCTTTCAGGACCCTCAAATGATTCATCTCCCAACACATCTGGACCAGTGTCATCACACTGTAATTTATGAGAGTGGTTCTTTAAAGAAATATCTATCCAATGGTTCTTCAGAGAACCAAGAGTGGCTCTTCTGTGGCATTGTTTCAAAGAACTCATATTTGGCATCTTTATTTTTAAGAGTGTAGGCTTGTATTTCAGTAATACTACCTGCTATGAATGATTTTATGATGACTGTGTAACTAATATGTTATATATTTGTTATATAGTAGTTATATAATACCATAACTAATAAATAAACTAATATGTCCAAAATTACCTTTTCAGGAGGAGAGGAGGAGGAAAAATATTTAACTTCTAACTTTCAATGTAAGTTCATGTAAAAACATTTTATTCAAAGTTGCTACTGGCCCAGTCCTCATAAAATGCTATAAAATAAAGATTTTCAAAAATTAAAAAAATGACAAAAATAGATTTGCTATATATGTTATGCAGTTATAAGAGTGAGGCATCCATCCTCCACAGACCCTTATGCTCTTAAAACTAAAGCTCCCTAAATGGTTCTGTTGTTCTAAGGAAAACCTTTGATATAGAACCTTCAAGTGGAAGGTTCTTTAAATCAGTGGTTCTCAAATCACTCATCATTATCCCCCAAACAGTCCATGCTTTTGCCCCCAACTCAGCTTCAGAAGGTATTCAGTGTTCTTAAAGATTTGATTCAGTTGTTTGAGAGCTAAAATTGGAACTTCTCAGGATCTTGAGGACTGATTTGAGAACCACGGCTTTAAACTTTAAAAGGTTCTTCACACTCTCAAAGTTCAAACTGGGAATTCAATGGAAAGAACCATTTGCAACTGTTTGCAACCACATAGAACCATTTGCAACAGGTTTCCACCATGAAGAACCATGAAACCACACAAAGAACCATTAGGCATTCAAATGGTTCTTTCAGTGTGTACAGTTGAACATGTAGCAATTGCCTTTTCATAAAGAAGAAGAACCTTACAGAACCACTTTTTAAGGGTGTAGGAGGTACAAGGGGTTAAATATCAGAAGACTTTATTGGTCAACTGGCTGGGAAATCTCTTTACGGTTCTTTGAGGGTTGTGGTCACTATTTGCTGTTTTGTGAACTAACAGCTCTGATATTCCTCACAATTCTGTCATTTCACTCTGCAACGCTTCACTGTCTGGCTTCATGAATGAGCCTAAACCCTCCTCTACTCAGGTCACCAGTGTGGTCCAGCATGACATTATTGATTTGACTCTCTCAGACACTCTATTCCTGCTGTAATAAATCTCAGGCTCGTCCTTCTCAGGGTGTTTGTGTTAGCCGGAAGACGTAAACATCCTGTATTCTGCTATCAAGCTTGTTTATAGTTTATAACCACAGTGCGACACAAGCAACAGCAACTTCATATCTAAATGTCTCAGTGTTCCCAAATGTTATCTGCTGCATGATGCAGGACCCGGCGACACAATATCAGCATTTTCCATAACAAGTGGAACCAGTCGAGACAAAGCACACCACAGGACCTAAACCACTGTCAACTATTGTCTTACTGTACGTGCACAGACAATTTCACAACAATACAACTGCAAACGTACTAACAGAGTCTGGAATTCATTTGAAGTGATGGTGAAAACTCTGGATCTACTCTACTCCTGGCAAAATTAGAATGGAAGATATCGATACATCACAAATTCAGACTTATTTCAGGATCAGAAAACATCTTCACCCAACAGTAGCTGTGAAACAATCTTGGTGGACTACCTTTAGCTCCTTGAAGAAGATGCAGCTTCTTGCCCATTCTACAATGGAGAACAGTGTCTGGTCTGCCATCACACACAGCAAGTTGAAGGGGCGGGGCTTGTCCAGCTTGCCACGCCCACTCTGTTCCTGCTGCAGGTAGGCGCAGATTTTCCCTCTTACCTGGGACAACCAAACAAAACACAGCATGATGATGTCAGACAAGTTGTTGCTATAGAAACCCAAGCTGCAGGAAACAGAAAACTAATCTTGAAAAATAGCTAAATAATCCCAGATGAATGATCTCAAACTAATTTCAGTTGACCTTGAGGGATTCCAGTTCATCTCAAAATGGTCTCAGTTTATCTCAGATTATCTCAGATGGTTCTAATGATCCAAAATGATCTCAAGTGATCTCAAATTAAGCAAAAGAGAATCCTGAAAATCAGCCAAAGAACCGCCGCAAATTGATCTCGAATGATCCCCGTTACACTCAAATGAGCTCAGTTGATCTCAAATGATCTCAAATTGTGTTAAGAATCTGAACCTGTTCTAATGATCTTGAACAGATTTAGATATCTCCAGTGATCTCTGGTGATCTCTAGTAAGCATCGATTTTCCTAACAATTTCTAATAATCTCAAATGTTCTCCAGATAATTTAGACAGTCATAAATGATTTCAAATGATCGTGAACTGCTCTAATGATCACAAATGTTTTCTAGCTACCTCTAACGATCTTGAACTGTTCTAATGATCTCAGACATTCTCCAGTTAACTCCATCATAAATGATCTCAAATGATCTCAAACTGCACTAATGATCACAAATGTTCTCCTGTTATCTTGAACAATCATAAATGATCTCAAATGATCTTGAATTGCACTAAAGATCACAAATGTTCTCTAGTTATCTGAAATGATCTTGAACTGTTCTAATGATCTCAAATGGAGGGAAAGGGGAATCCTTAAAGTCAGTCAAAGTACTTGATCTCAAATGATCCCAAATGATCTTAAATAATCTCAGTTTATCCCTATTAATCTCAAATGCTCAAGCTTAAGTGATCTCAGATGATCTCAAAGTGTTCTAATAATCTCAAGATGATCTGATGATCACAAGTGATCTCCAATGATCTTTAATTGTCCTGATGATCTTTGAAGTTCTCAACACTATCTTGAATTATCTCAACGTTTCATTTTGTAGATTAGGAAATGGGTTAGAACAGTTACCTGCTCCTCATCTGGCTCACAGCTGAGCAGCTCCAGGACCAGCGATGGTACTGTCGGGTTCAGAGGGCTGGTCTGGGGGGAAGCAGGCAGGCAGCCTTCAGTGTAGGGGTACGCCAGAGATGAGTCAGGGGAAGTAGAATAGGGGTCCGGGTGCTCCGCTTTGATGGACCTCCCAGGCAGAGTGGGAGTAGTGTACTGGTACTGAGCCGGGAAAGAGCCATAACTCTGTAGGGCCACCCCTAAGGCAGGGGGGCAGAGAGGGGGGCAGTCATATTCAGGAGGGGCGAGGGATGGGGGGAGGAGGCTGGGGAGAGAGCCGGCGAAGGGGTAGTCTGCCTGGGCCGACGGCACAAGGGGTGGGTTGGACTCCAGTTTAAAACCACTCGCCCGGATTAGGGCTCTCTTCTGCTGCTTTAGGGCACGGTCCCGCTTGTACATGGGGCCGAATTTATTCCTGCCTCCCCTCATACGGTCAGCACGGACCGCTGAGAGAGAGAAGAGAGAGAGAGAGAGAGAGAGAGAGAGAGAGAGAGAGAGAGAGAGAGAGCCTCATCAGTCCTTTCACTCCATATACAGTACATGCTCTCAGCCAAGAGACAGAACATCATGAATAAATGAGTTCCTCATAACAAAAATGAACAGAAGCCATCAACACGTTTTGAAGACCCTCCAAATCAACCTCAGTAAAGCATGTGAACAGTGGATCTGGGTCAGTAAGACCTCTTGACCCTTCTTCTAGTTTTAGCTTATAAGGCAAATAGCCAATTTAGCCTGAGTGAAAACAGAGAGAGAGAGATAAGGGGAGAGAGAGAGAGAGAGAGAGAGAGAGAAAGAGAAATGCTCCAATCAAGTAGTTCATTCTGAACATCTAAAATGTTGTATTTCTTACGTTACTGTCCTTAAAAATTCTTAAATCTCAGAAAATCTTTTTTAATAAAAGGTTAGATGTTGTTTATAAGCCGCTATTATAAGCTGCAAAAACAGCCCATTTGACTTTGTGTGATGTTAGGAAAACAAGCACATTCACGTACTGCCATTTCAGTGGACAGTACCTTTTGAACAAGGCAGTAACAATAGCAGCCTGTTGTTGATAGATTGTTTTGTGTATTGTGTATTTAAATTTGTATGCATTGTTGGAATTTATGTAAAGTTAAATGTAGCTTTTTTCCAGAGACAGTTAAAGAGAGAGAGAGAGAGAGAGAGAGAGAGAGAGAGAGTGTGTGTGTGTGTGTGTGTGTGTGTGAGAGAGAGAGAGAGAGAGAGAGAGAGAGAGAGAGTGTGCGTGTGAGAGAGAGAGAGAGTGTGTGTGTGAGAGAGAGAGAGAGTTCTGTAGTATTCAGCAGTGTTTAGTAGTGTTCTGTAGTATTCAGTGGTGTTCTGTAATGTTCTGTAGTGCTTAGTAGTATTCTGTAGTGTTTTGTAGTGTTCTGTAGTATTTAGTAGTGTTCTGTAGTATTCTATGGTGTTCTGTAATATTCACTGGTGATCTGTAGTGTTCAGTAATATTCAGTAGTGTTCTGTAGTGTTCTGTAGTATTTAGTGGTGTTCTGTGGTGTTCTGTAATATTCAGTAGTATACAGTAGTATTCTGTAGTGTTCTGTAATATTCACTGTGATCTGTAGTGTCCAGTAATATTCAGTAGTGTTCTGTAATATTCAGTAGTATACAGTAGTATTCTGTAGTGTTCTGTAATATTCAGTGGTGTTCTGTAGTGTTCTGTAATATTCAGTAGTACACAGTAGTATTCTGTAGTGTCCAGTAATATTCAGTAGTGTTCTGTAATATTCAGTAGTATACAGTAGTATTCTGTAGTGTTCAGTAATATTCAGTAGTATTCTGTAGTGTTCTGTAATATTCAGTGGTGTTCTGTAGTGTTCTGTAATGTTCAGTAGTGTTCTGTAGTATTCAATAGTGTTCTGTAGTATTATGTGGTGTTCTGTAGTGTTCTGTAATATTCAATAGTATACAGTAGTATTCTGTAGTGTTCAGTAATATTCAGTAGTGTTCTGTGGTGTTCTGTAGTATTCAGTAGTGTTCTGTGGTATTCAGTGGTGTTCTGTAGTGTTCTGTATTCAATGGTGCTCTGTAGTGTTCAGTAGTGTTCTGTAGTATTCAGTGGTGTTCTGTAATGTTCTGTAGTGTTTAGTAGTATTCTGTAGTGTTTTGTAGTGTTTAGTAGTATTCTGTAGTGTTCAGTAGTGTTCTGTGTTCTGTAGTGATATATAGTGTGTAGTGTTCTGTAGTATTCTATAGTGTTCTATAATATTTACTGGTGATCTGTAGTGTTCTGTAGTATTCAGTAGTGTACCGTAGTGTTCTGTAGTGTTCTGTGTTCTGTAGTGCTCTGTGTTCTGTAGTGTTCTGTGTTCTGTAGCGCTCTGTGTTCTGTAGTGTTCTGTGTTCTGTAGTGCTCTGTGTTCTGTAGTGCTCTGTGTTCTGTAGTGTTCTGTAGTGTTCTGTGCTCTGTGTTCTGTAGTGTTCTGTAGTGCTCTGTGTTCTGTAGTGTTCTGTAGTGTTCTGTGTTCTGTAGTGTTCTGTGTTCTGTAGTGCTCTGTGTTCTGTAGTGTTCTGTAGTGTTCTGTGGTGTTCTGTAGTGTTCTGTAGTGTTCTGTGTTCTGTAGTGCTCTGTGTTCTGTAGTGTTCTGTGTTCTGTAGTGTTCTGTAGTGCTCTGTGTTCTGTAGTGTTCTGTGTTCTGTAGTGTTCTGTGTTCTGTATTGTTCTGTGTTCTGTAGTGTTCTGTGTTCTGTAGTGCTCTGTGTTCTGTAGTGTTCTGTAGTGCTCTGTGTCCTGTATTGTTCTGTGTTCTGTAGTGTTCTGTGTTCTGTAGTGTTCTGTAGTGCTCTGTGTTCTGTAGTGTTCTGTGTTCTGTAGTGTTCTGTAGTGCTCTGTGTTCTGTAGTGTTCTGTGTTCTGTAGTGCTCTGTGTTCTGTAGTGCTCTGTGTTCTGTAGTGTTCTGTGTTCTGTAGTAAATAGTGAATTATAGTGTAATAATTGATGTTTATTGTGTAAATCGGTTTCAGTTTAAATGAAGCTCTTCTTCGATCTGCGAGTCTCTTTATCACACAAGTTCACAAGCAACAATAAATAAATAAATAAATAAATAAACGGAACTGTCTGCTCCGTCTTAGATTTGAGTAATAAATATTTCTGGAATGTAAAAAATCTTAAAGGCGAAATTATTATTTTAGTTTGGTTAAATTGAGGCGTTTCGTCCTCATTAAAAGTGTCTGTAGGCGTTAATTAAGCAGGACTTTCAGTAAATGTATTAATTACATTTCTTTAAATGAGTCTCGCGTTTCCGGGCTAATCTGTATTTGTTATATATTATCAGGAGGTTATAAGCCGCATTTACGGGCTGATTAAATTACTTTATTATTAATGTATGTTTTCATGGTAGTTTTAGCTGCTCGCTAAATCCTGTGCGGACTTATTTGAATATTATCCACTATAATCATTGCTGTCTGCTGAATACGGTTTCTACTGTTAATGATTATTACCGTTGCGTTGAAATGAGCGCAGAAACAGCGCAGCCGCAGCGCTTCAGTACAGAGCCGTGTGCAAAAGCCGGTGTTTTATCAGATTAATGAGAACCAGAATATTCAACAGGACGAGACAGTTTGAAGGTTCTGATAACGTTTTATTGATTTTCTGAGCGAAAATTAGTTTAAAAAAATAAATATCATATTTTTCTGCTAATTTTAGTGCCAAATTATATTTATTTTCTGGGTTGTTGAAGAAAAATATATCATTTATTATAAATTTAAAAAGCCGCTTTGAACAGGTCACGTTTAATGTTTTTTCCCAACATGTTAAATTCAGCAATTAAACAGTTACTGTATATTAAAATGTGCAGAAGTGTGTTTACAAATACACTTAGAAAATCTACAAAAACACGCAATTTGACCCTCGAGTCTGATAGTCAAATAATATAATATAATATAATATAATATAATATAATATAATATAATATGACATAATATAATATAATATGATAAAAGTCCTACCCTCCAGTCTCATTCCCACGCTCAGACACTTCTGGAAGCGGCAGTAGGGGCATCTCTTTCTCTGAGTTTTATCAATCCCACAATCCTGATTCTGACTGCAGGTGTACCTCTTATTATTCTGCACTGTCCTCTTAAAGAAACCCTACAAGAGCACATTACATCACATTATATCACATTACATTATATTATATTACATTACATTACAAAACAAATCTGCATTACATTACATTAAATTATATAACAAAACATAACAACATAAAGCATAATATAGCATAAAACACAAAATAATTATACATTAAATTACAATACATTATAGAATAATTATAAGCTACATTATATAATAAATATAATACATGTAGAGATCATTTAGATATAGATATATAGACACAAAAAATATAAATACTATTAATTGAACTTAGAGATAATAATAATAAATAACAAGTAAAATACTATAGAGATCATTTTTAGATAGATAGATAGATAGATAGATAGATAGATAGATAGATAGATAGATACTGATGTAGATGAGATAATTGATATAAAATAGATAAATCAAGATATAAAGTTGAGATAAAATAAACTTGACTATAGATATTGATGTTGATATTGAGATAATAGAGATATCAATATAGATGTTGAGTAAAGAGATCTATAGAAATAACAGATGTAAGCACTACTATAGGCAACTACTAGTAACAGTAGTAATAATAGTAATAGTAATAGATCTAATGGTCAGCCCACCTTGCAGCTCTCGCAGGTCAGCAGGCCATAATGGTAGCCGGACACTTTGTCCCCACACACTGGACAAAGCTCCTCAAATTCATCAGAGTTCGGGAACTCCATCCCTTTCAGCAGACCTTCACACACTGCAGAGAGCAACACGGAAACATCTACTACTGTACACAACCTACCGAGGGGGGTTACAGAGAGCTGAAGGACTTACACTGTAAAAAAAAATTCAATGTTTTATCTCAAAAAAAAACCTAACAGAATTTGAACTTATAGAACTTATATAGTAAATTTAAAGACAGCAATCTGTGTTTTACATTGTTATTATTTAGTCTTTATTAAAGATTTAAGACAACCAGGTTGTTTAAGCATTCAGTTATTTTTTTACAGTGTAAAAACATTTACCAAGCCTGACCGCGATAAAAAGGCCCACTCAGGACCCTAAAGGATTTTAAATTCAGAATTAAGTCACCAATAAATAGCGTGGTGCTGACGGTGCTTGGCCCCCTATAATTGCTGCGGGAGAAAATACATCACGCACAGCGGATCAAAATGAACAACAACCAGCCGAAAAACAGCGCTCAGATCGCCTTCACTGGGAGAGAGAGAGAGTGCTCAGCGCGATGCTCACTCTACCATTTAAGAGTCTCTGTACTGAAAAGCTTTTAAGCATTACAGGCTGAAGATGAGCCTAAAACAGTGCTAATATAAAGCGGAATCAGGCTGAATTCAGTGTGAATGAGGGATTTTCAGCAGTGCTGAGTGTGTGTGTGTGTGTGTGTGTGTGTGTGTGTGTGTGTGATGTGGACGCTGATCTGAGCTCCAGGTCCACTCCCGCGCCTTCTCAAAGCATGAATCTGTGCAGACACGCCCACTGAAAACACACCACGGGTCAACACTGCCTACTGTCCCGTGCCCCTGATCACAATAATTCACATTTGTGGCCACCAATAATGCAGAGCCTGATCTGAGATGAGATATTATTATTATTATTATTATTATTATTATTATTATTATTATTATTATTATTTTGTACTAAAGAAGACTAATCAGATTTCCTTCACTGTAAGCACTGAGGCTGCTGATGTGACTGTGGTCAGTGTGGTGGTCACTCCTGGCTTTCCCGAAAGCATCTTAGCATGACTCTTAAATGGTAGAGCGGGCATCACACTGAACACTCTCTCTCTTTCTCTCCCTGTGAAGATGATCGTATAGAACCTTTTTAACTGGTTCTGTGTAACACAGAAAAGGTACGATGTCAACCTTGTAGCAACAGCAGAACCCCTTTTGGTGCTCTTTAGAACCATTTTCTACCACGATCAATCTGAAGAACCATTTCACCATGCAAAGAATCAGTTAAGCTTGCATATGGTTTTATATAGAATGTATGGTTCTGAATAGAACCATTTTTGCTAAAGAACCCTTGTAGAACCATATTTTTTGAGATGTAGGTTATGTCATCAGGCACTGTTTATCCTCTCGCTGTAACGCCAGCTTATTCAAAAGGGTTCTTTAATAAAGGCACTGGTTCCACTTAGAACCATGAGTTCTATTTAGATCCTTTCACGTGATTAATTGGTTCCTTGCATGGTGAGATGGTTGTTCAGATTGATGGAGAATGTGTTGTGGAATCTTTTCGGAAATGGTTCTACGTAGCTCCAAACAGGGTTCTCCTGTTGTAACGAGGTCAAAGTTGTAACAATAGAAGAATCTTTTTTGGTGCTATATAGAACCATTTTTAGAAAGGTTCTACAACACATTCTCAATCAATCTGAACAACCATTTCACCACGCAAGGAACCATTTAAGCACGCAAATGGTTCTAAACAGAATAATAAAGAACTCTCGAAAAAGTATCTTTTTTTGAGAGATCAGATGACGTCAGGACCAGATCGGCACACAGCACAACAACGGCAATATTATTATTAATCCTTTGTTTGGGTTTTTTTTTGTACTGAATTTAATGTCTAAGATGTTTCCATCATTTTGGCCAAAATCAATCAGACTGCGGTGCCACCCTCAAGTGAAAAGACCACTGCTGTGCCTCCTTTGAGGGTCCATTTAAATGCTTTGCACCCTGATAAAGAAAAACATGCAGCCGTTTCTTCTGAGAGCCGTGAAGAAAATCAGAATGACAGTTTATTCTTATAAATAATTACTCTAATATACTCTATAATAATATTGTAGCCTGTTTGACAGCGCGTTCTCTTCTCATACTGTGGCTACAGTCTCAGAAAAAAGGGGCTAAGCCGTCACTGGGGGTCTCAGTCCCCTCAGTTAGGGAACATAATTGTACATAATTAATTGCAATTCATTTGTTTAGGCTGTATTGACTTCACACACCCTCCTCCCTCCTCCTGCCTTATTTTATATCATGATCCAGAAACACGCGAATATGATGCAGAGCATAAATAAATGAGGTAATAAAGGTTACAGCCTTTATTTTAGATACGTAGTAATGACGTTAACGCAAAATTTAGTTTTAATTCTAACACAGAATAACAATAATAAATAAATAAATACATAAATAAATATGTAAATAAATAAGGCGACTTTAATCGCGACATCAGGCTGAGCTCTTTTATTTAAAGCGTAAATAATCCTGGAATTTTCTGTATTTCTGCTTTTCTGAAGAGATTTTAAATAACTGCATTAAAAAAAAATCCTACATAAATAAAAATAGAATCATAATTTAGTATTGTACAGAAATGTAAAATAAGCATACACTTCTGCATGATTTCTAAAAAAAATTAAAAATGATTTTTCGACACGGTGAAATTTGGGAATCTTTATTTCACTGTAATTTTACTGTAAAAATGTAATATTAAGTTTAATATTTAATATTAAGTTTCAGTCTGTTGAATTCTTACAGCGCTGCACTTCATCATCATCATCATCATCATCAGGCGCTGATTAAATCATATTCAGTCGGTTCGCTTTATAACGCTGTAATTACAGACGCTCGGGCGCGCGCGCTCCCTAAAAAGCACTAGACCCGAATAAAACCCTCCAAAGCGACTAAAGCCCCGAAGTCTGAGCAGAACAGCCTGAGAGGTTTATCAGCGCTGATACCGCAGGTCAGTCCATCCGCGCTGATCTGATTATCGATCATTAATAACGGTCCGACTGATGATCAGCCGGAGCGGACCGAGCGCGCGCGGGGTTACCTTTACTCTCTGCCTCCAGCATTTGTCTCGTCTGCGCTGAAGCTTCTGATTTTCCTCCAAAGCCTCGGAGAGTGCGCGTGAGGAACCCGCGTGCAGCCCTGCAGCCTCTAGAGTCTCGAGACTAATGCGCTCCCATCTTGCCGTGTGTGTGTAACTCACTCCTCTTATGGCTGGCGGCGCAGCTGGACGCCTCTTCATTGGATTATCACCCTCATGTGACAGCCTCCAAGATGCGTGATGATGAGGATGATGAAGCTCACTCCGGCAGACTGGAGAGTTAACTCATCCAGTTCTAAACAGCCACCATAGCTGGATTAATTCTTACAGTTTTAGATTCAATTTTACAGAGCTGGATTAACTTTTATAGTGTTAGAATAAATTTTACCAAGTCAAGTTAACTTTTACGGAGCTTTGACAGTGTTAGATTAAAACCCTTATAGTGTTGTGTAAAATTTTACTGAGCTGGATTAACATTTATAAGTTTTAGAATAAATGTTTTGGAGCTGGACTAACTCTTATAAGTGTTAGATTAAATGTTATTGAGCTGGATTAACATTTATAAATTTTAGAATAAATTTTACTTAGTAAAGTTAACTTTCACAGAGCTTTGACAGCGTTAGATTAAAACCCTAACAGTGTTATATCAAATTTTACAGAGCTGGACTAACTCTTATAAGTGTTATATTAAATGTTATATAGCAGGATTAAAATTTATAAGTGTTATATTAAATGTTATAGAGCAGGATTAACATTTATAAGTGTTATATTAAATGTTATAGAGCTGGATTAAAATTTATAAGTGTTATATTAAATGTTATAGAGCAGGATTAACATTTATAAGTGTTATATTAAATGTTATAGAGCTGGATTAAAATTTATAAGTGTTATATTAAATGTTATAGAGCTGGATTAACATTTATAAGTGTTATATTAAATGTTATAGAGCTGGATTAAAATTTATAAGCGTTAGATTAAATTTTATGGAGCTGGATTAACATTTAAAAGTGTTAGATTAAATGTTATGGAGCTGGATTAACTCATATGTGTTGGATTACATTTTACAGAGCTGGATTAACTCTTGTAATTGTAGATTAAATTGAATGGAGCTGAATTAATTCACATCAAGTTAAATTACATTTTATAGAGCTAGATTAACTTTTTAAGTGTTAGATTAAGAGGTTTTACGGAGTTAGATCAACTCACAGTTCTAGACTAAATTTTACAGAGCTAGATTAACTCTTGTAGTGTTAGACTACATTTTACAGAGTTGGATTAACGCATGGTGTTAGATAAAATTTTACAGAGTTGGATTAATGTATATAGTGTTAAAGTTGAATTAACTATTCGTGTTGAGTTACACGTTTCACAGCATTAAATGAACTTTTGCAGTGTTATATTTAAATAACCAGTTAAATGTCATGGTATTAGATTAAATTTTATAGTGCTGGGTTAAATGTTACAGTGTTGGATTACATCATTTAGGTCTGGTTTCCAGGACACAGATTAAGCCTACACAGCATTCTGAAAAGGAATTCTTCATTGAAAGGAAAATGTAATCCAGGACTATGCTTAATCCCTGTCTGGAAAACTGACCCATAATCTTTGATCAAGTCTTATGGTGCTGGTGTTATTCATACTGTCAAATAACATTTGTGGTGTTGGATATGATTGTAGTGTTAGATTACATTTTACAGTGTTAGACACAATTTGATGTTGTCTGATTGTCATATAATGTTGAATTAACTATTCTAATCCAGGATTAACTCTTAGATTAAATTTTAGATGTAGTGTTAGATTGACTCTTATAGCGTTAAGTTAAATCATACAGTGTTGGATTAAAGTTTAAGTGTTGGATTTACCCCTGTAGCTCTGGATTACATTTTATAGCATTGGAATAAATTTTATGGTGTTGGTTTAAAACTTTATAATCTTGCATTAACTCTTTTTTGTTATGTTAAATTTTACAGCATTGAATTAACTTTTATAGTGTTGGATTAATTCTTACAATGTTAGATTATATTTTATTGTGTTGGATTAACTCAGTGTTGGACAAAAATTTGTAAGGGATTCATTCTTATAAAGTCACATTACATTACATTTGCTTTAGTGTTGGAAAACATTTTATAGTGTTGGGTCCAATTTTATAGCATTGGATTAAATTTTATAGTGTCGGATTCAGTTTTATACTGTCGGATTAACTCAGTGTTGGATGAAATTTTATAGTGTTGGATTCATTCTTATATTGTTAGATGACATTTTGTAGTGCTGGGTTTAATTTTATAGCGCTGGATTGAACGTTATAGTGTAGGATTAACTCTTATAGGATTGAATCAACCCCTATAGTTTTAAACGTACTTTTAGTGTTGAATGAATGCTTACAGTGTTGATGTTATTACAGTACTAGGTACCATTACATTGTTCAAAGATGACAGACGTATATTAGACCCAAATGAGTTAATCTAACACTATACAACATTAGCTATTAATGTGTAGATATTACTTTAACACTACAATGTAGCGGTTCATGTAACACTGTCAGATGTTTCTCAGCACTGTGTGCTCTTTCTGCTAAAGTGTCCATTTCTAAAAGCTACTATGATGTAGCTGCATGTTTCTATTACTGCTGTTACCAAGACCACGAGCTACCAAAAGCATTTTTGAAAGACCTGCATCTGTTAGCCTGCAGATTATATCAGCTCATTCGTAATCACACGGACATTTACAGCCTCTTGAACAGACCAGAGCAGAATCTAACAGATAAACACCTCCCAAATAAGCTGTCCAACCAGTCAGCCTACGCTACACCATTTCGTGAGACTAATTCTAATTGTCGTGGGAGAATTTAGCCTCATTGACAGAAAATTAAGAGTAATTTTGTGTTTTACTGTTTTACGCAGCTAAATACAAAATGTAAAACATTTGAAGAAGCTTCCGTTTACTTTGCTGAAAGCGTGCTCTGCTTACTCTGTGAAACAGTCACAGACAGATGTACTGCAGTGGAGCACAGACTGTAAAACAGAATAGACTGTTTGTAGAAGCTTTATAACGCAGTGGGCAGCCTGGCCACAATAAATATTAGAGTTCAGTGAATCTGAAACAGTAACACAATGTAAAAGAGTGAGTGATGTTGTCTGAGCTGTGCTGGGGAATCTAAGTTGACTTGACAAAAGAGAAGTTGTGATAACACAAACAGTCTAAATAGTGTTTTTACAGTGTATCTGCTGTTGTTTCAAGGTTAGAAATGTTATGCTGAAGTGCTGTGGCTACATAACCAGCGTTAGTGTAGACATGCCTGCGCTGCTTTGGCTCCGCACTGAGCAGACTGTGCTGGACGAGCATTCCTCTGTACTAAAAACATTGTGTGTGTGTGAGAGAGAGAGAGAGAGAGAGAGAGAGAGAGAGAGTCATATACAAGTATAAATATGTAAATACATATATATATACTATAGATAGATAGATAGATAGATAGATACACAAACACATGCATACACACACACACACACACACACACACACATATATATATATATATATATATATATATATATATATATATATATATAGATTTTTTTTTTTTCAGAATTTGAGAATACCAGGTGCCTTTCCCATTGTATTAATACTTCACAATAAATGAATGAATAGAAATGCTCCAAAATTACACAGGAAAAAAATATTTTATAAATTTCCATTCAAAGTTAAGATCATTTTTCCTTCTCCTGTAAAGTTACTATTTTGGAGAAATGATTAATTAATTGAATACAAATAATAAATTTTTTTAATATCACAAAAAAAGCAGAAAACACATATTTAACAAAAGTTTACACAGAAGCCTCCTGTCAATTACAAACGACACCACACTTTGTTTATCTTTATAACCTTTTCCATTCTTTCCATTCAGGAGACTTTCCTTCACTTCTTTAAAGTTCAGTCTTAGAAGTTGGTTGCATTTTCTGCTTCTTACGATCCACAAAACACATTCAGTGATGTTGAGGTCTGGACTCTGGGGTGGTCAGTCCATTGTTCAGCTTCTTTGTTTGATGTGTCCGTCTCCTTTTCTCAGTGAGGTTCTTCTTGACAGCTACACATCCTTTCAGACCCACAGCGCTGAGTCGTCTTCTCACAGTGGAAGGATGGACAGAAACACCTGTGGATGTTTTCAGATCTGAAGCAGCTTGATTTTCTCCTCTCTCTCAAAGATGAAAGCTTTAAGTGCTGTTTATCTGATGGGGGCAGTGTTGGTGTCTACCAGGTCTTCCAGGTGGTTGTTAGGAGGTCTATTTTCTCTGTAACTTTTAATCATTTTTTGAACTCCAGTTCTGGAAACTCCTGTTTTTTTATTATTTGTCCTATGACTTTTTCCTTCTTCATGCAAATGAAGTATGTTTTATGTAATCTCAGAAATCTCTCCTGAAAATGAATGACTTGTACTTATATTTATATACTTTTATTTATATTTTAACCCTTTAACAAGCTATGGGCCTGCTCGTCAGGCCCGAAGTTTTAATACACACTTCTTAAGACTTATTAACTCAAGAATAGCTCCAGAAGTTTGCACTGAAGTCCCTGTGGTTACTAAATAACAAGCCTTAGTATGAGATAAGCCTGGAATGTTATGGGGTTAAACTTTGGGACACATTAATACACATAGATACACATATGTAATACATGTAGGTGATACTGTATGACTTATAGATACCTCCGTGTGTATAATACATATGTGATATGTTGGACATAGGCCTGTATGACTCCACATCCTGACATTGTATAAAAACAAACTTGTATATGTGTGCAGTCCAGTCACTCATGCTGATGTTCACATTCCTTCTTTCTGTACGCACTAAAAGTTTCTTTTAACAATAGCACGCACGGATATAATTGACCACAATAACGCTTGGTTCCCGTTCGCCACCATTTTGGGGACTTTTCTTTGTCTCTCAACAACAATAGAGATACGCACATTCTGACAGTGGCAAGGACAAGTCCACTTCTGTCCTTGGATCAGTAAAACTATAAATATATTCACCCGAGTAGGCTGGCAGGCTGCTATTTATCACAGAACGGAAGTGGGTGCTAAAGGAGCACAGTGCATTATGGGATCCTGCACTTAAGTTCTA